CTTTCTTTCTGGTAAAGATTATCATTACAGGTCAAAATATGGTTAATTTTGCACAATGCTCAAAGAGCCTTTTTGTTACTGGTATATATGTTAACTCAACAGTGATTGTTCTCTATTTCAGTGAAGTAAAAGAATTTAACAGACAGATTGACAAACAACTGACGAAAGAAGAGAGACGATTCAATAGGTGGGTATTGCTCTTATATACTTAAAAATATGAAGTTGGGAGTAGTTTCCTGTTTGGTTCTCCCAACAGTGCATACGCTTAAGCCAGAAATATACATATATATATATATATATATATATATATATATATATATATATATATATATATATATATATTATAGCTAACACTGTAAAGCAAATGTTTGTTATTATACCTCTTATATTAAATATTAATCTAAATTTAATTTCATAACAATTGATTAACCTTTTGAGTTCATATACATTGTTTTACATATTCAAGAATATATATATATTCATTCATTTTCTTTTTCAGCTCAGTCCCTTTATTTATCAGGGGTTGCCACAGCAGAATGAACCGCCAACTTATGCAGCATATGTTTTACACAGCGGATGCCCTTCCAGCTGCAACCCAGTACTGGGAAACACCCATTTACACTCATACACTTGAACATGGGGAGAACCTGCAAACTCCACACAGAAATGACCACTGGCCCAGCCGGGGCTTGAACCAGCAACCTTCTTGCTGTGAGGCGACGGTGCTAACCACTGTGCTGCCCTATGTGCTCTATGCGGGTGAGTGGGATTGACAAACCACTTGGAGGACACACTCTTGCTGTCTTAATGCACCAGACATTTTGTTATAAATCATGTGCGTTTCATGTTTATTCATATAACTGCTATTTTATCTCTTAGCACTTCATTTTTGTCTTGATATTTAATATCTCTTGTTTAAATACACTATGAACAGCAGATGCGCTAATTATTTTCCTTGTTCCCTATTTCCACCTGGGGATATTCATCCAGAGGCCTCTAGAGATCGTGACCTGTGAAGAGATGATGCCACCATAGAGGACTTCTAAATGTATCCATAATCCTGAAACAGACCGTATCATGAGCAGATGCTGTGGTGGTCATGGAGAAGTGGAGAGCATGAGACTGATTAATGAAAGACCCCAGTGACAGATGAGTGCCCACATTGACCCTGTGGTCCAGCCTGAAAACCAGCTGGTGACCTACTCACACCTGCAGCTTCTCCACGATGGACGCCCAATGTTTGCCTCAAGCGCCTAGACTGCAGCTCTGCACGTGAAGTGTGGCCAGAAGAGAAATGGTTGTGCCCAACTGAGCCTAGTTTCTCTCAAGGTTTATTCCTTCACTTTCATCAATTTGTAAAGTTTTGTTCCTCCACTGTTGCCATTGGCTTGCTTGGTTTAAGACTTGTGGAACTGTGCATCGATGGATTTGCTTTTTTTAGTGTTTGGACTTTCAGCAGTGAATACTAAACCACACTGAACTGAACTGAATTTAATAAATGTTAAGCTGCTTTGACACAATCTACATTGTAAAAGTGCTTTAGAAATAAAGATGAAATTAATTAAAATTGAATTAAATATTCAACACGTTTCCATTTTTCTCAGAAAACATATTTATAAAGGTGCTGTTGACTTGAAAATTTCACCAGATGTTGATAACAATTTGTAAAGTAATTAGATTTGTTTTCTATTCATATATTTTTTTTCTTTGGTTTTCAGGTCAATAGCACCTTTAGAAATATGTTTTCTGAGAAAAATGGGAACTTGTTGAATACTTATTTACCCCAGTGTGTATGTATGTATATGTGTATATGTATATGTATGTGTGTGTGTGTGTGTATTTATATGTATGTATTTATATGTAAATATGTGTGTATATATATACTTGAACTTTCTTCTTCACTCTCATTCACAGGAGCTAAAGTCTACAGCCAGTCTGAATGCAGCAACTGAATAAACAGTGGGGTCATTTTTGTGGTTGAATTGCATTATTAAAAATAAAAGTGTGGATATTTATATAAATGTACATTCTTGAATCATCCTTGCGTCTTGTCTCTCTAAAACCTTTACAACCTGGTTTTAAATTAGTAACTGCAAATGCTGATCCCATTTGATTTAAATTTATTTTCCTTAATACTGAGCTAATTAGTTCAATGTAATGGGGTTCATCAATATACAGTATTTTTCAAGGAATTTAAGACTTTTAAGGCACTCAACTCTATTTATTCATTTATATTTTGGGTGTAAATTCATTTGTTTCATTTTAAAATTGTTACTTAAAGCAGGCGTTTTACACTTTAACCTCTGTAATAAAAGTGCCTGAAAGTTTCCGCTATATAATCCAATTCGGTAGGTGGCGCAGTTACAAAACGGGTCCTAGAAATGCAGTTTCACTATGTCATCCAATCCGGTAGGTGGCGCTTCCGCAAAAAAACTAGGGTCCTAAAAATGCGGTCCTAAACATGCGATCCTGAGAGTGCAGCTACTCCAGTTGTGCAGGATCATACTATTGGGCCCGGCGCCAGGAAGTCAAAACTGAGGGGGCACTTTAAATCCATAGGGGGGCACTAGACCTGGTGACTGATTTTGGTCTCTTGTTTCTTTCATTTAGGCTATTTATTCGCATTTATTATAACTTTGCATTACTGCCTAAGTTACTGACCTAAGGCAGTAATATAGGCTACGTTTTAATAGTAATAACAATACGCAGTTTCGCTATTACGAATTTTATTAACGATGGTAATGCATACCGCTTATTAATGCAGACGGATGATGGCTTCAGTGCCAAACGAGTGCTTTAAATCATATGTTATTCTCCTTATTTCCGTTTTATTTCAAATAACAGCCCTATGAATGTTTAAAGTTTTAGGTAAAGACGTCAAATTATGCCCACGCATGCAAGCTGACCCACGATCAGACTATTCATTTAACCGGTAAATAAATATAGTGAAATCAGCTTAACCGAGTCATCACGCTTCACAACCAACATCAGTGTTGGGGAAAAGCTAAATGTGACAATCTAATGTCATTCAAAACAATTACTTAGTTACATTTTAAGGCATTAGTGTAGCCAGAAAAATAACTAAAAAAGATACAAAAATTCACAGTTATTACCGTGAAAATTGGTTAAATTTTTATATGCTATATAACTTTTTTTTCATCATTTTAAATGTAAAAACAAAGATTTGTCTAAGGCTATTATAAATGTGCTTTTTTCGTGATATTGTAAACCATCATAAACCATATGTACCATAGTTTCTAGGCCTACCCGTCATTTTATTTATTAATTATTTTATTTATTAGGCCTTTTTTAATAGCTTGTTTTCAGGTTATTTTCATTTTAGGGCCATGAGCTAAGTCAAAACAAACTCGATATGTTGTATTTTAGCTCTTAAAACAGATCTACAATATATTTTATGTTGTTTAATTTTGCATGAGCAAATAGCAGTATAGCCTAAGTTACATATTTTTAAAAGATTATCATTCTGCCTACCTGCAGCGCACGAGATTTCTCGGTTGATCCGCGGTAAATCCACTTAAGCACTATAAACCTATTGCATTCATAACACTGCAAACTTGACTTCGCAGGCCGATCATCTTTAAACGCAAAAGGCATTTATTATGTGTTATACCTTGACTGCAGTTGCATAATGGGATGTTTCTCTACGCAACTGTAAAAGTGCACCTTTCAGCAAAATGAAAGCAAACATTCAAAGGGTTCTGCGTTTTGTCAATTTTAGCTTAATTGTAATAATATTAATAATAATATTAATAAATAAATTAAAATATTATTTATAGTGTAGCCTACTGTGGGACTGTGCAGTAAACTATTTATTTTTATTAAAACATTTTTATTAGGCTACATCTTCCCGAATAACTAATAAATGACTGGCAGTTGCGTCTCTGCTAAAATTAATTTAACAGCAAATTTCTTATGTGTTTTTTCCTTTTAGAGCTCAAGAGAGTTGTGTTTAAATAATTAGTTAACCAAAACATGTAATGAATTAAGCTGCTCCTATCATGTCACCCATTTTCTCCCTTGTGAGTTGAGTGCGCCTCCATCGCCGTGTGCGCGTTTTAAAGGCTATTTACGGGCGCACCAGACCTGACGCGGGGACCGGATCTCTGGACTATAGGACTAGCTTTAACCTCACCATTTTCATAATTTAATTGCTATGTCATATATTTTAAAATATTTAAATGTGTGTTCTGAAGGTTGGAATGACGGGAGTGTTAATAATTAATGACAGAAAGAATTTTCAGTTTGAGTGAACAATCCTTTATAAAAACTGGGGGGGGCACAAACTATGTCTGAGGGGGCAATGCCACCCTTTGCCCCCCCGTAGCGCCGGGCCTGACTACAATCTAAAATGGATCTGTATTATGTGTATTTGTTTGTGTGTGTGTGTGTGTGTGTGTGTGTGTGTATATATATATATATATATATATATATATATATATATATATATATATATATATATATATATATATATATATATATATATATAAATTTCTGTTTAAACATAGTAATATATGACAATAAATTAATATTACGCAAATCTCACTCAGTAATGCTGTTAATGTGCGTAATTGTTTTTTAAGCATTACCTGGCATTGTGAATTCATTATATTACGCATTATATAGGATATAAAATATCAGCACAACTGCAAAAACACTCATGTTAACCAGTCTGACAGTTACACACATGTGATGTTTAGCTGTACCGCACACGCAGACCTCTTGGGCTTTTATCGACTTCAACGACCACGTGAGAGAGTCGCTCATCTAGTGCTTTGAAAAGAAGGGGGGTGTTCTGACCAATTTATTTTTACTAATGTATTATGTTTATGAATTCTAATCTGTCGTGAAATACAAATAAAAAATATATATATACAAAGCTGCGCCTATTCACACTTTGGGGCTAAAACATCATATTGGCGTAAAACATTTGGACAAAGGCTCCACCCCACTCCCCTTTTAATAAATGTGATGGTGCATGCAGGAAAGACAGCCATTTTGCACCGTCCCTCTTCCACCCAGAAAGTAGGTTGTCGTGGGAAGACGTAATCAGAGAAAACTACTAACTCACAAATCCCACCACACAATCATTCCCCCGTGTCAGCACAATATACCTACTCAGTTTCCTCCGTTTGAAAAAGGAGGCATCGAGGGTAAGTGTTCATTGTTCATGGCTGTAGCCGCGCGAGCTAACTGGTGGTTGTTTACGGTCGCTAGCACGCGCTAACATGCGTCATTATGTAAGACCAGATCGACCACCGAGCGCCCACAGGGCTCATTTCGCTTTTAGACACGGTTTGATCAATAGTGCATGCACCGTTGCTTCAAAACCTATCGAGCTTGTGTAAGTTAACTTCCGCGCGCTATTCGAGCTCCTCTGCTAAGTTTAGCATAATCCAGAAGTGTACCTACGATACAAACACACCTAAAACACGCCGGTGATGAACAGAACTCTTGCAATTCGTTCATGTTTCACACATGCGGTCTTTGAATCGCGTGTAATGTTAAATCACTGCGATGGCTTTGTGAATGAACAAAATTACGTTAGAGGTCCCGTTGAAAAACGCATGGTCACACCTCCCCCTACTAAATTGATATGGACGTACCAATTGCGTTATTGGGTACGCTAACAATGTTACCTTTTTTTGCCCAGCGAGTATGTAACTTGGTGTTTCCCGTTTTAAAATGCTCTGTATGCTAGTAACTTGCAGCTGTGTGGCATATCGATTAAAAGGAGGCATCGATCCTTGCAAAAGTTAGTGTAGCGACTCTCGAGTCTGCTGCGAAAAGAAGCGCCTCTTCCTGATACAGATTTTCGAGCTTTTAAAATAAACAACTCGTTTCTAGTTAAGGTATCATCACACTTATTGTCTATGTTTGTATCTAATGTGTTTTAAATGCTAATTGTTGGTAGTTTCCACCAAATGTGTATAGTTCCTCACAGTTTGTGGCCCTGTGCTCGAGGCCTGTTGATCAGAAAGCTGCTTCTGTCACGCGAGTTCTCACCACCATTTGATAAGAGCTTTATAATGGACGGCTGTCTTCTAACTTGCAAGCCAAAATCGTTTATCTAGTAATACTGCAGGAACCTTTCTGAAAGTAACTCGAGGAATTCAAAAAGAAGCATTCTGGTGACGATTGTAGGAGTAGTCTGTGATAAATACATAAGGACTAAATGTGCTAATGTTACTTCCGAAATTCATAGAGGTGAAGTTGGTTTTATGTTCGTACATTCGTTCATTTAGCAGTCTCTATATTGTTTACCATGTTACCTTGAATATTCGATCGGAATTGGCATCTTCTAAACAACATGAACACTATCTAATTCACTGTAAACAATGTTGTACTTTTGATAGTCATTGTCTGCTAATATGATTTCGCTATTTAAAATGAACAAATATTACTTTTCTGAAATTATATTATTAAGAAGAATTTCTGAATATCCAAATATAAAACCAACTTTACCGCTATCTGAAATACCTCATTCTATCATGAAATACCTCATTCAAACCTTCAGTTTGCAATAGAAATATTGAGCCTAGAAATGAAGCCGTGTAGGTAAAAGCTTTTCAGGGCAAAAGCAATAGGCCGATAACGTGCTGTTATGAATGAGACCGCTTTCTACAAGAGCTACAAGGTCCTATTGGCCTCATGTGATTGCTGTAATGGCATCTATGGTGCATTTGTCAAGCCTGGTCACCTTTATTTATATAGTGCTTTACTCAAGCAAATCTTACCAAAGCAGCCTAACAGAGGTAATACTAAGTTTCATCAATGTGCAGCAAGTTCAGTACATGCAGTTCCAAGCATTTTATTCCATTATATATCTAATGCTGCTGTTTTATTGAACTTGTTTTTTTTACCTAGCAGACATGGTTAGAAGTTGTTAGTGATATTTCATTCTTATCCATACATGTCATAATGAACATAAAGCATGTCTGATTTCATGCAAATGATATAGTGATGTATTTTGTTGTTGCGTTACCATCATTACATAAGGCCAGTTGTAACTGACCTGTTATGGCCTTTATCTGACGTTGACAGTGTGCAGCATTGACTCTCTTTTGAGATCTGTCTGTCTCAGAGGCTGTCTCAGAGCCAGTATAAATAATACACTAAGACAGCAAACTAGCTGCTGTGTCTTTGTCAGCATTGTAATGGAGGTAAAGGACAGCAAGTCCAAAGATACTGGGAATCAGCACAGATGTTCATTGACAAAATGCCAGTCTAACCATACGGCTGTTTTCTTTCTGCAGGTTAACGGAAGCAACGTTTCAGAAAAGCAAGGCTACAGAGAGGGTAAGTGGTTCTCATTTTTGTGTTGGGGTACATTACAATGGACTGTTTGTTAATCGAGACATCAAAATATAATGGGGAAAGGTAGGTATTCATATTCCAGATAATTGGTGCTCGTAAGAACGGGATTTAATGCGAGTCATCAGAGAGTGCACAAACATTCGGCCATCAGCTTAGTTTGAGAGGTTTTATGAAGTCTGGCCTGCTGAGAACCTCAACGTGTAAAACAAAACCCTATTCTGATTTGATCGATTTAGTGGTCTATGATAATAATAGGGTAGTCTGTGTCTCTTCTACAACAATACCGTCTGATTTTTGCATGTTTTGCTGCTATCATTTAGATAATTGGTGTCAGTCTATGTTAGCTTTCAATAACACATCATTCATCCATGTGGAGGTCTAATGTCATTTACAAATTTCTACCTTAGTTTTTGTGGGTTTATAGTGTGCTGTTAGAGAGCTGCATGCATGAGGAAAAATAGCATGAAATGAACTCTCTGTTCCTTAGTCTTTAGTGCTCAGAATTGAAGACAAACTGTTTCCTTGGTTACTTGGTGTGCGCACACACACACACTGGTGTGTTGATGCTGCTATGGTGGGCCGTTCTTTGCAGTTGGATTTTTGTCCTGCATGGCAACACCTCTATTATCTGCAACTGCAGGCTGGCTCTAAGATGCTCCAAGATACACTGAGCTCATATTTGAGTGTGTATTTCCATAAATACTGAGAGTTTTCATTCGACTGGAGGGTCAAGATTGCAACTGGAGTCGTGAGTTTGTGAGCGCTTAGCAGAACGTCAAGGGGCTTGTATCTCCTTTACAGGGGGAAGGGATGTGTGTCAGAGTGCAGGCTCTTTAAAGGAGCCATCAATCATATGGCTTTACCTTTAAGAGACTCACGAGGGGACTAAAATACTTGTACTGAGCCACCAAAAGACTTCAGTTTCGTTTTGTGCTTAACATACTAATGCTTTGAGGCAGAAAGCTCTTTAGCTGTGACTTCTGTCAGATTTGGCTGTATGAAGTTCATGTCTGACAGTTGCTGCAGCATGGCAGCTGTTAAACCGTGACAACGCTCTCTGTGAGGGAGTAACCACATGGAGGTCAGCAGCACCTGTCAGGAACATTCCTGTTTGTACTCCTGCTAATGTGGCTAATGAATGCCATTAAATCCCCAGATAATTCTACATTTAAACCTTTCCAATATATGGAAATATTGTCGCTAATCTCTTAATTTTTGAATATAGTCTAGAATAGGCATGGGCAATATGACAGAAATTTCATATCATGATATAGGTCATCTCATATCCTGATAACAATAATTAATAAGACGTGAAGGACTATTTATATATTTTTTATATATTTTAAACTCTGAAATGTATATATGTGATCATATTTCTCTTTAGTTACTTCAGGAGAAATGTTTGATTTAAAATGTAGAAATATAAAGTTTATATGAATAAGATGTAAAACACTTTTCAAAAACAAATGATTACAGGTCCAACCTACAAATATAAAATATTGCTTAATAAAATAAATCTGTATTTTCAAGATTGCAACATTTTCATGTGCCATCATTCACATTTGGGTTGGGCGATGTTGACACATGGTCTTTGCTTTACCCATAACCAAACCATAAATAAATAAATTTACACACCAATTACCACCTGTCAATCACCTTTTTTGCCACGGGACTCTGTCATGAATAGGCACAGTGATCTGTGTCGTAATAATAGCTTTTTCCACAGCTGGTGGAGGAGACGAGAGTTTGTTTGGCGTTCACTGTAACTTGTATTGTGATTGATAATAACTTCCTTATTATTATTATTAAGAGTAAATGACAATTAAAGATGCTAGGGCTCGACCGCTTTGGTCGCATATGCGCCCAACATTTTATCTTTGCAACCTTAAAATATATTTTAAAGTATTTGGGCAAGTGCATACATTTTCACTGTTTTCCCTGCAAAATCCTCACTGCGTGCGCGGATTTAGGACACATTTATGCAGAATGCATCTTTGCACCTAAAAACGCCAAACGCAGCACTCAGGAACAGATAAACAGTTGTTATGTGAACTTCAACTTGGTAAAGTAAAAAAAAAAACAGCAATGCTTACACAGCCTTTGTGCTCTTCTTATTGGCCCACTGCTGTAGAACTGAACGCGAATTATTGGTTAATATCAGTTGTCCATCACTCAGTCAACGCCCTCTGCCTTCACATGTCAGGAGCTACAACAGCAAAAATGTGATGCGCTGAAGAGGAGAAAATGAAAATAACACTGAAAGATTTTGTTTTAGAAAACACCTAAAGTTACTAATAATGGCACATCTTATTAGTGATCACATGCTGAATGTTAATCCACCATTTACACTTTTCCAAGAGTGGATAATAGACCTCCAGTGGCTTCAAGTCCGCTCTGAAAATGACTAAAGCCATTCACTGTAAAGTCTGTGGGACGGGTTTGCAGGTAACAGTGTTTGCCACTGAATCTACACATTAAGAGTGAGAGGTACTGTATAATCCTTCATTTAATCTTCACGATGCTGTCAGCCGTGCAAGCGGCAACTATATGTATATTTAAACACAGCTCATGAAAAGACCGTTATTGACATTAAGATGACATGCAAATAATAAGTTAAATATCAATATAAATGTGGGGTGAGGCAATGGATTGCGATGCTGGCTCAGCAGTGTGAAGTTTGTCGGCGATGGACGATGGCATCGTCCCTAATTCACATTTCTGTCTGAACTCCCATAATACCATGTCATTTTGCACTCATATTGATTATGATAGTCTTGCCATAACCAATGTATTTTTACGACGCCACAATATAAACTATAGAGCATAAAATGAAACAAGAATTTTTGTCTTTGTGATGTTACACAGTCCACAGTATGCCTTTTGTAATAAGTGCTGCTTACACAGTAGCTCTTAAAATTTGGTCTTTCAATATTTTTTAACTTCTGTTATTGTGCTGCACATTACAATTTTCCAAATCAGAGACTAACTTGATTTTTATCATGACTTTGAGTAGAAATTTATTATGTGAAAGGGCTGCCAGTGGTCAGAGGCGGATTTGGCTGTGAGGGAAGTTTTCTCCAGATTGGCTGTGAAATGGGTGATTTCTGCAGGGGGCTAAATGATTCTCACTGGAATAGTCCAAAACGGTTCAGAAAGAAAACAGAAAATGACCACAAAGCACTTTGACCTTCCATATGGTAGAATGTTTAATGAGGCCATGTCATAAAACGACAAACGATGCTTGATCTTTTAAAGTAAAGCTAACTTAATTCTCCCCTGTTTGCAAAAATGTCTTTTCACTGAGACTAAGCTTGAGACATAATTGTGATTAAAAGGATAGTTTTCCCAAAATTACTTTGGTTTGGGGCCACTCATGTTGTTCCATCTGGCTTGTGTTGATATTTGAATCATAGATGAAGATGAAGATTTGTTATTTGTCTTCAAATATTGTCCATGCAACAAAAAAACTTTAACACAAACAATCCTTTTAAAAATGTGTTTTTTGTGAGCTGAGTGGTTTAATCCAATCTTCTGATCTCATATTCTTGATTTTGGCTTAGAGAAATATTCTTAAACCTTTCTCTAATATCTAATTAATCTTATTTTGCCAAATTTTATAATATGCATAATATCACCTATAATGTTCGGATGCAAACTATTTTCCCATAAATGGTTACTAGAGAGTTAAAGCCTTTATTTAAACTTAATATTAATTTTAATAATTTAATTTAAAATATAATTCAAACACGGGTGTTTCCCTCCCTGTTTGCAAATAAACAGCTGCACAAAAAATAACAGCTGCACAAAATATTCGATAAATAAAATACAGTACAGATTTTGAGCTGTATTTTGAGCTTGTAAAACTTTTAGGATGTGCTTGTAGTGTTTAGGCCAGCAGAATTATGCAGGGTTAATGCTCTAACTGATGATTTTTATACCTGATTGATTTCTCTAAGCTGCTTTGGATCTTGGCAAAGATGCTTTCTGTATTTTTTAAGCTGCTGCGGGATCTAATGCTCTGCACATCACAGAAATCAAATATGTACTCAGTGCAGTGTAGTGAACCAGGACTTTTTTGATTAACAACTCCATTAGAATAATGTAGGTGTTTTTTTACACTTTGGCTACTCTGGTTCCAAGAGAACTTTACACATTTTATTTTATGTTGTGAAGTAACCCTCTGTTTTGGACGGTGAGTGAGCTGCGCGTGTAGGTCAGTGGTTTTATGACCCTTGGCATTCTGAACGGCTGGCATGGGGTGCTGCTCTGAGCGAGATGTTGTAGTAATACAAGTTATATTTGTAGCTGTACAGAGAGAAGCAGGATGGTTGTGGTGTCCCATTCTAAATGACTGATGGATGGTTTAACATCCTCTCTCATAAGTCACGAGTGTATGTGTGTGTTGTATTTTCAACTGCTAGCTTGTTCCAGATGCTTCAGTATTAGTCCATTTGTCCACAGTGCTGTCTGTGCCAGTGTTCGAGATTGTGTTTGTTGTTAGATGAACTGTGCTGACCATATGCTCTGCCCCCGCACCTTTCACCCTAAAGACCTATAGGGCAGTGTGCCTTACATAGACAGTCCATGAATAAGCCTCACAGTCAGTCTGCAGTCATTAAAACATGGCATGGCCTGTGGTCTGTGATCGGAACATTCTTCATATACTCCCAGGGTCAGAAGCCACATCACAGCTGCATGGCATGTAGGTAAATTATTGATGTCCTGTGTTGGGATGCAGCAAACTAAAAGTTGCAATGCTCCTAGCTGTTGTTTTGTACCTTTACCTTGGAACAAAAAATTGTGTAGCTTTCCTGGTGTTTTTGTAGCTTTTGTTTTTTTACACAATGCAACATTAGGTGCTTAATGTGCTAACTGTTGTTATAGGCATTAAACCTATCTGCAGAAAATAAGGACACCTGACGGAAACCTAAGTCTTTGTTGAAATCGTTTTTTTAAAATTGCAGTTCTGAAAGGCTTTTTTTATGCACTGAAAATTTCCCACTTTGCCAAAATTTTGTCTTTCGCTAAGCAAATAAAATCTTGTTCATTTGTTGTGTGTAGGGCTGGGCGATTTGCAAAAAAAATATCTAGGTTTTTTATAAAGTTTAAACGATTCACAATTTCGATTTCGATTTTTTTTATTGTGTTGCTAGTCTTCTCAAAACATTACAACAGCATGACTGAAGTAACATTCTTTTTAAAATTAACTTGAAAAACCGTCTGGTTAAGGAACATTGTATTTTTAATGGCCATGTCATACAAAAATCGGTCAAGGTGTAAATAAGTGTAATCTTCAAAAATTGTGTAAATATTGCAGTTGCAGGAATACAGAGGTATTTCTTGCAAGTTTTGCTGAGCCTAGGAAAGATTGGCTGTCAGCTCGGCTTTGACTTTGTCTTCTGATTGAATGACAGGTTGTAAAGCTGCTGCCTTTTTCTTTAAAAGATACAGTGGAAGAAAAGGACTGAACATGGAAACTGTAAAGCCTAATTGAACCCAATGTGTGAAGTTTTGGACGTATAGCAGGAGCAAATACAAGCACCAGATGTGTGTCTAATATAAATGAAAATATTTTATCGATTTTTCTTTTTTCCCCTTTTAAATACCGATCATCTGATGCACTTTGCTCCACTCTCGGTATTATGCTGTGTGGTTTTAAACTAGGTCTGCTAAATGACGTCATGGGGGCGGGTACTTTCATTTTCACTGCTACAGGCCCTCACCTCTGCTCAAGTTCAAACCAAAAGATCGGCGCGGTTTTTACATGGCAGGCTTTTACGTCCTTCATACATGTTGAGATCGAGTTTATCGAATTGATAAGGGAATGTCTTGACAATCCACACAGATGTGACTCAGACTAATGCAACAAGTCCTACATGACTTCAATGTCCATCAATGTCACATTTCAGGCCTTTTCTTTCACCATTCCAGCATGGAGTGTTGGACTTAGCGAAGGGTCAACTGACAATCATATAAAAAACATTTACTATAAGAGCTTGCAAATTATAAGACTTCTAAATCATTACACAAGACAAATTATATCAGTGGTTTCAAATTTGTAGGACACAATTTTAAGTTGTTTGAGTGACACAGCAGTTTGCTTTTAACAAAAACAAACAAATATTTTGACATGGATATTATTAACACAGTTCTTGCTGCAGATGACAAAATTAAGTGGCAATGTTCTCATACTTCACATGTCTTATGGCCTTGTTCAGAATTGTTTTTCCTGATAGTGAACTTGTGTGCTTCTTCAGTTAAATTCAGCTAAGTACGAGTACTATAATACTGATATTTTGTTACAGTTGTGTCAATTGCAGGCACGCAGCCAGCCTGACGAATCGGGTGGCTCTTTTTTCTCAAAAAGTAGACCTTTTTGCAGTTATTTGCCTCATTTAATTATGAAGTTTTAATCATGCTTTTTTTTTTTTTTTTTTTTTTTTTGCTGGATTAACTTGTCGGATGGTCATCACAACCACACTTTTTGATGTACCAAAAACATTTGCATAAGATTTAGAATAAAGAAATAATGCAACCTTATATAAAAAATTCAATATAGTTTTAAAAATGCAAATTTATTAGATCATACATCATTAGAAAAAAGAAGAATCAGTTTAAGTTTTTAAATTAAACAAAAGTGTAGCCTATTATCATTTACTTGGCAAATAAACTGGCCAGCACCTTTCTTGAGCAGAATTTGGGCCACTGAATTTGGCACCAAAATTGCCAATTTCGGTGTCCCAAATTCTGTAAGAACAGTCAACACAGGATTCCTCTTGGTCAAAGCCATTTTCGATGTGTTTATTTCACAATTCATGATGGCATAGCAGTCAAAATAGGACAAATGAGCTCATGTATGTGACAAATTCTGGACCTTTGTCTTTCGAACCACCCAAAGCCCCCTGGCTACGGGCCTGGATTGGATTTACTTTGGCCATAGATCTGACATGTGATGCATTGTTGTTGGTTGTGTTAATTTTTGTATTTTATCTGTCAGCATTGTGTTTATTTTACAGCGTATTCCAGCATGAATACACATTGGGATAAAGTAACATGGTTTGATCTGAGCTAATAAATATGGGCATTTTATCTTCTGTCATCAAACCTTTGTGTTTGAGCCTCTGACTTTGCTCAATGAAAATGCTTCTCAGATGACAGACTTGTGGTTTACATTTTATTCGAATCATCCTGGAAGTGCCATCTTGCTCTCCGACTGTAGTTTATGTGTTTTCTGTGTGCATGCAGTTTGTGACATGAAGTTTGCATGCTGTCTATCCTGTCAGAAGCCGTCTCTCTTTTTCCTTCCATTTTATGTTTACCTCTGTGTATGTATGTATGTATGTATGTATGTGTGTCTGATGTGTTTGTCCTGTATTGTTTGGTGTGTTTCTGTAGCATTTGACAAAGGCACTGGATGGATAGTATCGAAGCTGAAGCCCTGTACCTGACCACAGCGCAGCACGGGCAACCTCAATGCGAGCTTTCTCTTCCTGCTGTGGAAGTACCTGCCCTTGGCGGGTAAGCACACATTCACTTTGTTTTTTATTACCTCAGGGGTGCGAGGATGCCCTCCATCTACAGGTTTTCCCTATTTCAAACAGCTTCTCTTTGAAGCAGGAACAAGAAGAAACATATAGCTTTCTTTTATAGAAAAGAAATATGCATGTATGCCATGAGCAGCCCACCAGATGTCACTGCGTGGCAGGCAATGATGTCATGGCTGTTTGAATGTATAATTAGGGAAGCAATAGAATGATTACACTTATTAATTACGGAACTATCTGTGTTAGAATATTTTTGTGTACAATTTGAACTTTTGTTTCTGAATGTATTACAGCTTTATAGTTTATGCATTTATTTTTTCCAGTAGCGAAAAGCGTTGTAATGCTTTATTTTTAATGTACTTTATTATAGGTTTTTTGATGTTATGTTGAACAAGACCAATTAATAGACCTTTGCTTGCCTGCGGCTTGTTTTGTTTGTCACCATTGACTGAAGGCTTATAACACAACCCTTGTCGCATGACCCCGAGCAGCTTGTTGCTCCCTCCCTTCCGTCACCCCTCCATGCTGGAATGGTGCACGATCCGTGGCCCGTTGCCGGAACCTGATTGTGTCCTGGGGGCGCTTCAGCTCAGGGATTACCAGAGAGCTGCCTGTCCCCATTCATTCCTGCCGTTCACTCACGCTTATCAGCATCGATCTGACACTTTATTTATCTGACACTGCACTCAGTTCTGCTTTGCTAAGAGAAAAACTCACAAAAAAGTCCCCCTCCATCAGCACTTTCTTTTGTGGGATCAGGGGTGCAGCTTTTAGTGGCCAGTCGGGTCCATCCTAATCCTCAGGCCCAACCCAGTGACCAGTGCTAGGGCCTGTGTTTGTCATCCAGCTTCGTCGTTGTCTCTCTTTGCTCCATGTGGATTTGCGTTTTGTGGGGCCTCCTCAGCCTCCATGAGGTGCACACTTCCCCGTTCTCTCCCAGCTGTTCCCATGTCACTTATCACGACTTGTGAACTTTGAGAGACATTGTACTTAACGGATAGTTGCTGTTGAAGTGTGAGCCGGTCTGCTGTTTTTGTGTATTGTCACCGTTCATTTGAGACTTGCTAATTGCTGAAGGCCTGAAGAAAATGGCTTCCTTTAAGCTGGATTTTCTTCCAGAGATGATGGTGGACCATTGCAGTTTGAGTTCCAACCCAGTGTGAGTACAGAGCTTTGAACAAGTAGATTTACCTTATTCTACCTTAAATGAGCGCTATATCAAGGGGGGATTTTTTAAAAGTTGATTTTAATAATGAGTGTGGTCAGTGAAACATGATTATACTGGTTTATTTACCTATTCTCAGCAGAGCAGACCGTCATTGTAAACGGCATTTTGTGAGAATGCTAGTTTGATTCAGGTTTTTGTGAGCTGATTGTCAATGGCCATTAGAGGCATTCAGTGATGATAGCCAGTTCATGTTTACAATGTGTTTCTGTAGTGAACAGTGTTGTTTTTCATTATTAAACTCTCTTGACATTAATGTTTCATTTGACAGCTCAGTCTGAAATATCTCTCTAAAGGCACAATAATTTGGTGCTCTTACTATGACACAGTAGATACTTTCTTCTATATAAGTCTGGAGTCCATTAGATGTGTTAAGACTAGGATGGTTAAAATGGTTGGTAAAAAGTCGTAAATGCTTTTGGTCTCAGAAATATTTCCAGAATAATCAGTGGTTTAGTGTCACACATCATAATCAGGTTAAGTTTTTTTTTTTTTCCTCTGTAAAGAACTTCTTGAGTCAGCACATGAAATGTAAGAGTAGATTCTTTGGTGTTGCAGGGTGCTTCAATAGCATGTTTCAGCCTTTCGTCTTGTTAAAGCTGTTAGGGTTGTTTATAGTTCTCTCTCCGTTAGGTTTTACAGCTTCAAAGGGATCAATTTAACCAAGAACGTGGCTAGAAACTGCTGACTAATCCTTGCTAAATTGCCTTCTCTTTTCTTTCTGTTATTTGTTCTGTAAAAAATGCAAAGCTGTTGTTAGTCTTCATATAAAACTCTGCTTTACATAGTATTGATATTAATGGGTGGCAAAGGTGAAGAGAACACTACCATAGTGATTTGTTATTTATTTCATTCCTGATTGTTCTTTAATTTAGATTAAGTATTTGAGGAATCGTTAGAATGAATCTTCTGCGTTGTGGTGCAGTCAAAGTGTTTCTTCCAAACAGTCAGCAAATGGTCTGATCTATAGGAAAAAGAATTTCCAAAACGGTTTTGTCCCAGTAATTCATTCCTCTGCACATGATTGGATGATCTTTTGTAGAATCTGCGTAATCTGCTTGTCTGAACAAGTTCTGGTTGCTGGAAAATCGACAAAGTAGAAGGTTTTATTAGCTCTGCTGTCCTCAGATCAATAAATGCCATTAATCTGGCTTTTAGCTGCTGGCTAATGCTGCTCTTTGTCAGTAGCACAATGCTGTGTTTATCTTAAAGTGGTCTGTCACTCCACTGATCAGCAGCTGTTAAAGAGAGTGAAGAAGCAGTGCTTCAGGCATGTAGTGACATCACTTCCCCTTATGCTGCACTCTGTCAAACAGGATTGTAAAAGTGTTCTTTCAGTTCACTCTTCACAGACTTAGAGTGGTCTGATGTTTTCTCTACATTTTTGTGGTATAGGAAATTGAGTGATCCTGATGTCTAATATCATGTTGCTGTGAACATTTCATCTGTGCTTGGGTTTAATGTTTAATTTTTTTTATAATTAGGCCTTCCTGTGAAAACCCAGAGGTCTTTCACTTTTGCCTGCATGCATTTTTTGTGACCAGTGCTTAAATTGTGAGATCCAGTCAACAATCATGCATAATTCTTTAATAAAGTAATTTTTAACTTTCATTCATGTCACAATACAGAAGAAAATGTAATACTGCAAAATATTGTGTATATAGTGTATATATAGTAAATGTATATAGTTATTTTCTTACCTCAGAGAATTGTGTATTGCCTGGGAATTTTCAATATGGGCTTCATGTAGTTTACCTAGGAATTTATGTAAGTTTTGAGTTTTGCGGAGTGGCTGAATTTCTTAACGCAAATTTATTAATGTTTTAGATTAGTTTTCTGCTGTTTTGCACTGCTGATCACTGACATGAGGCAACATCAAGTCTTATTCTATACATCAGTTGTTTTTTTTAGACAGTGGGTCTTATTCGCTAACAGTTATGTGGATTATTTTTGTTTTCTTAACCAAAGGAGTACAGATCTCTGTATGAAATGCAGCACATTTGAAAAGAGAAATTTGTTATTAACCTGGTTTTAATATTATTAAATTTTGATTCACTTTAAATGAACAACCGCATACACAAGCTTAGTCATTTACATAGAATATGCCCCAACCTGCTCAAGTATACGTTTCCATAATTTGCTTGTACACTAATTTGTGCTTATTCATTCTAGATGAATGACACAGTGTCTACATTTGCTCTTCAGCATTTAAACTATTTAAATGTGGGCTAGTGCTCAATTAATTTTTTTATAGTTGTGATGTTGGTCTCCAGATTTATTGATACAGACATTTGCAGTTTTAAGCAATCAAAAATACCCAAGTGTTTACAGAAAATAATTTTCTGATAGCACAAAGTTAAAAACCTTCATAAAAACAACTGTATATTTAGCGTGTCATTTTACTGTCTGAGAAAGCTGAACAGTCAGAGTTGGTCTAATTAAGCTGACTCTGTTGCACAGTTAGCAAATTATGCTAGTTGCTAAACACTTAGATTTGTTTTTTCTCTTTCTATCTCTCTGTAGAAGCAAGAAGATGAATGGGTCTCTGGACCACCCAGACCAGCCCGACATTGATTCTATAAAGATGTTTGTGGGTCAGATCCCTCGGACGTGGTCAGAGGATCAGCTGCGTGAGCTGTTTGAGCCCTATGGTGCAGTTTATGAAATCAATGTTCTTCGTGACAGGAGTCAGAACCCCCCACAGAGTAAAGGTACTTTACAGATGGCTTTCAACTTAATACAGTTTGTTCCAAATCCCAGTGAGCACATTGCATATGCATACACAATTGTGCAGTTATAAAACTATGCTTAAAAAAAGTTGTCTTGGGATGCAGGATACTTCAGTTGCCTCCTTTTTGGAACAGTCCCCATAGTGGGAATGTGCCAATGATTTCTCGTAGAGATGCTCACTGGTGTTTGGAAACTGTGTTCTAGAGAGTGGTCTCTGTGGAAATGTTGTCATCTTGGACGTGATTCATAGACCATTTATTGCATTTGCAGGTTGTTGTTTTGTCACATATTACACCCGTAAGTCTGCATTAGAAGCACAAAATGCCCTTCACAACATGAAGATTCTTCCAGGGGTGAGAAAATGTTTTTATTTTATTATATCAATAATCCATTAATTCTCCTGTGTGTCGTCAAATGACCTGGCATTCTACCAATTTATTGCTTTTAAAAATACATCATATATAAGCACATATTGAGATAATTTCATAATAGCATTTTCAGTACACCCAAAGGAGCTGTGGAAGATGTTCAGATTTCTCATGAGGGCTGGGAAATGTCAGCATTAAGTCACATAATTTTATTTTTTTCTTCAGATGCATCATCCCATACAAATGAAACCTGCAGACAGTGAGAAAAACAATGGTGAGTCACTTGAATAAGCCACACATTCTTCATTCGTATGTGCTGCTGTTCTGAAATATAAGCTCTGTAAATTTAACAAGATGTATCATAATTTCCATAGGTGACATTTAACTTGATTTAGGGAGAGGGGCAAAATATCTGCACACAAATTTGATGTTTCTTTTAACCCAAGTCATAAATTGTACATACATTTTAACAAGAAAATAATGAAACAGCATTCTACCTTGTGCATAGTTCACACAACAGGATTTTTAGCTTGATTTAAGCCCAATTTGCTAATGAGCTTGTCTATAGGTCAAATCACCAGATGATTGACACCTCTCTGCAACCTTTGTGTGAACAACTCGAAGCGTCATTTGGCTTGCTGACAGACAACAAATATGCAAGCTTGCCAAATATCCGGAAAATCTAATGTGTCAGAAGACTAGTCAGCTGACTGGACGTCATGTGTTGTCTGGTGCAGCAATGGTCTGCAGTCAATGGGATAACTGAAGTTATGGGTTGCCAGTTGTTCTCATATGCTCAACAGTAATGTCTGTGATTGGCTAAAATTATTTGATTCATGTTACCACAGAGTGACACAGACGCAGCAGTGTTTGAAAGCCACATCAGGGCTTGGAAATAGGGACTGCCTACTGGCCCTTCACAAAAATGAAAGCATGCTAAAATATTAACGAGTGCTGTTTAGTCGTTACCATCTGATAAATTTTCCATATTTAAAATAGGCCTATTGTTTTGTTTATTTCTTCACTGACACACCGAAAGAAAGATCAACATTGATCTGCTTCATGATCTCACTGCAGTCCCAGTGTTGTGATGAGAAATGCACCCCTGTGAATAAATGCTCGCACCTCTTTCTTAGACTTTTATTTGCATTCTCAGTCTACATTTAAAGGGCCATGAAACCCCCTCGTTTCAGCAGGGTGTTTTCACACCTCTACTTTGGAAAAAGTCAGAAAAGTGGGCGTGTCCAGCTCTGTTTAGGGGGGAGTGTCGGAGGAAGAAAAGTGGGATGGTGTGGGAGTGTCTATTTGGGCACGTGAGTTTCAGAGTCAAAATACACACACACACACACACACACAGTAGAAAGTGATGGTGTTCAACCTACATGGACATCTGTAGTCGAATTATTTGCCAAATTATTAAATGGTGGCAGTTTGGCTCTTTCATTCAGGGAATTCATTTAGTCATGTCCCTCGCGACAAACGAGATATTTGATTCGAGGAACTGCTCTAAGCGTGTATTTTTCATGCAATGTTTGATACCGCACGGCGAATGAGAGAAAAAAAACCCTCAGCATTTCCCGGAAACTTAGATGCACATGGCAGGTTGCGTCAGAAAGCCGCGTGTGTTATTCCGGTCACTAAATGCGGTGAAAACCCTACACTGGTTAACTTAGTTAACCCTACAATGGTTAACTTAGTTCGATACGAACAAACTGAATAAACAAAGAGCACTAGTCGCTCACTTACCAAATCTGTAGAGACAGGACAATCACCAGCAACTAGAGCCGCGTCTTTATTAAGAGAAGACTACAAGCAAATCCGGATCTCAGCGTTTGCAGATGAGAACAGCTCTCAGGTAAACAATGTTCCTCCTTAGACACGTAAGTTATTGTTGTCGAGCGTCGCGTACACGGTTAATCCACACGTGAGACTGAGCTCTCATAGAGAGAAAATGAAAACGAAACTTAACTGCAGCAAACTATAAAAGCAACACTTCACGCTTGTTTTGCCAATACAACGTGGTGTGAGTGTCGTCTAAACACTCTGACAGTAATGAATATTAATGAAGTTGCAGAATAGAGCGCGCTAATTGGTTTAAACCAAGCCTTACTCATGCATTAATGCATCACACTGTAAGACGTAATAAGACACACTCTGGCACAGACGTCCAGTCTGCACGCTGGAATACAGGCTATTATGTCATGACCGTAACGCAGCTTCAAAAATTCGTTTCAAACCGGAAGTACGACTTTGCTTGAAATAACGCAAAAACAACCAATTTACACTTTTTAGGGAAATATAGGTGTCCTAATAGTGTTTTTAGCAGTGTGGGACACATATACGACTGCCAACAGCTCAAAAAATGTGTTTTGGTGTTTTGTGACCCTTTAAAAAAAATCAAAGCCCGTAGTTGATTAAAACCCAGGTTAATATGATTATTATTTTGATAGATCAAGCAAGAACAAGAAGTGAAATGCTTTCTAAAACTAGGTTTACAAATAAATAAAAAATAAAAATATAGACCAGTATAGACTAATGTATCGAGCCTGATGGGTTGCAGCTGGAAGGGCATCCTTAGCATAAAACGTGCTGGATAAGTTGGTGGTTAATTTCGCTTTGGCAACCCCATATTAATAAAGGGACTAAGCCAAAAAGAAAATGAATGAATATAGTAAATAAATCTATTTATTTATTTAAATGTATATCTTCTGTAGGGTAAGGTTTCCATTCATAGAACTTGCCTTAGTCACTGTCATTAGTAGTCAGAACTCTATTATAAATAAAAAAAGAAAGAAAAGAAATTTAAGTTGATGTCTGGTGCACATTTCAGAGGGGTTGCAATTTACAGCAGGGGTGCATTTCTTGGCACAACACTACTCCTTTTAGTTCTCTCTAAAATATAAGCCTATAATGCATAATTCTTGCCAAAGATTTTTTAATAGATTCATTTAATACATGGATTTTTACAAAACTTTACAACTGTAATGAGGCTCTGTATAAGAAAAGCTTACCTCTCTGTTTTATGTCTAGGGATGTCAATTAAAGTGCACATTTTTGCAAATATAAGGGTGTAATGATACGCATATTCGTATTGAACCGTTCGGTAGGAGACTTTCGGTTCGGTACGCATTGCAAACTGAACGATTCAGATTAATGTCTAAAAAGATAAAAGAGATAAATACAAAATACAATGTTTTTAGTGCAGCAACACTCAACAAGGCATCCCAAATGACGTGACAGGCAACAGCCTTCCCCGCCCACCTCCAAACACTACTCTAGTCAGGCACACGCTGCACTAGCTCACAAAATGGCTAGTAATGTTAATAGCCGCGTTTTCACTATCGTGCCTAAAGCAAGTGAGCCAAGGCCAGTGTCGTTTCCACTGTCACTTCCGGGGCTTTCTTGGGGCCAGCGGCTGGCCTTTTTCGGCCCGCCGAATACCTTGGGCCAAGGAGGGCCAGCTGGGGATTCGGGGTGGAGTGAAAGGAGAGACGGGCAGTTTTCTGATCGCACATGAGTACATGCGCTAAACAAATAAATAAATAAATAAATCAGGGAAAGAAAACATCTGGCCTTATAGTCTGGGGTCTTTTTGCGTATGATCACCCTTATGTTTCTCTTTTAAATGTAAGGCTGCTGCATAAAATAATAAAGTAGTTTTAATTTATAGTGACGTTCTTTGCTGCGTCCTGCGGCCTTGTAGTCCATCTATGCAATGCCTGCATGTATATAGTCCTCAGTACAATGGTAGATGTAAGTAATGAAAAGCCTTTGCAACTCACAACTGATGCGGAGCCAGGCTAAAGTATAAATCCAGTTTAAAGTGCAGATATGCTTTTCTAAAAGGACATCAGGAATAGGAGTTTTCTGTTTGTCTGCCCGCTCTCATTCAAATTAAACAAGAGGTTCCGTCTGCTATAAGGAAAATTAATCCCGCATTGCAAGAAATCCAGTCAGTCCTGCAAGTTCTCATGGGAGAGCCATGGGAATGCAGACCTCTATTTCAGAGCTATAACCAACTGCTGCTGAGCACTGGCTAGATCTGTCTTTCTGATGGATAAAATTCAACGATTTAGGGGTATGCATCTGCCCTCCAAATGTCACCCATGATGATTTCCATAAACATTTAAAATGATACAAATGTTCCGTAAGCACCAAATCAGCATCTCTGAATGTTTTCTGAAAGGTCATGAAACTGAAGACTGGACTAACTCTTGTCTTCATCAGAACAAGTTAAAATTTGTTACAATAAAAAGCATTTATGTCTAATAGTATTTCACCTTATGACTGTTTTAGTTTGTTGTATAACATTAAATGAAGATGAGGGTCTTTTGCATGAAGAATTTGTCAAAGCAGGCAGTTTTTCATTACATGCTTTTGTTTTTTTTCAGCGGTAGAAGATAGAAAGCTGTTTGTTGGAATGATTTCAAAGAAGTGCAATGAGAACGACATCAGACTCATGTTTTCTCCATATGGTCAAATCGAGGAGTGCCGCATATTGAGAGGTCCAGACGGACTAAGCCGTGGTGAGAGCCATCTAAAACACACGTACAATGTCATTATCATCATTTAAAGTAAATTACATGCATGATGTGATACGGTGCACTCAAATATGTGCTGTTCATTTTTCGGCAGCGTATCGCATCATGTGTGTAATTTGACTTGTACCACATACAAGCATGAATCTAACATCTAGTCTTTCCCCCAGGGCAGCACACTAATAATCATGAAGTACATCTTCACTAGTCACTGTGTCTACTCTTAGTTATTTTGATATGGCTGTGTTTTGAGTAACTAATAATTGCAGATGTAATTCATCACAGACAAAATGAGAATCAGTTGGCTTCTGTAGGCCAAAATGAAAATGGCTTAATTCATCCCAAACTCAGCATGGCAGCTGATATAGGAGGTTACATAACCCTGACTGCATGCAACAAATTGAGTTGCTTTAATCATTCAGTTTAGATACTTTTCTGTATTGTTCTTGTTTCTAGCTCTCATTTATCTGCACTGTCATTTAAGTTAACTAAAGTGTAACCAAGGGAACGTAATGCACATTGAGGCCCACGCTATTTATTTTAAAATTGGCTTGAATGAACTCTGTCCATCACCATGGGAACTGCTTAAGTGATTGGCACAACCCATAGTGACTCGGCAGTCCTAAAACCCATTCACTTTTCAAAGAGCTTGGGCTTGTTTTGATAGGGTTGTTACTGCATGATCATCATGAGTGTTTCTAGTTTTTGATTTTTGTGGTTCACAGAAGTTGGTGTCTTTTTTTTTTTTTTTTTTTTTTGTGATCTACTTTCATTGCAACTCGTGTGTCTGCAGGCTGTGCCTTCGTCACATTCACAGCGAGACAGATGGCCCAGTCTGCCATCAAATCCATGCACCAGTCACAGACTATGGAGGTAAATGCACATGCATACCATTTCTCCATTTCATTTGTTTTTAACTCGGAGGATCTGCGGGGTCTTAAAGTCTTAATGTCTTAAATCTCAAAATCTAAATTTTAGGCCTTCAAAAGTCTTAAATCTTCTGAAATATTGTGTTGTAGGTCTTAAATCTTTTTTAAACGGGTCTTAATTTTTCTTTGTTCATGTATTATTACCCAATCTGGCCAAAACCCATACAATCACCAACAACCATCTCAATAAAATATAAACTTTTTATTTAAAAAAGGTAATTTTTAACTCTAATTATCATAATGGTTTAAGTATTTACCTTACAATAAACATTTGTTTAAAAGTGCTGCATGTGTTTACTGCTGAGGACACCGACCTGGATAGATTGTTGTGCATAGATTTAGTTTATTATATTTTTTTAAACTTATATTTTTTTAAACTTTAAACTTGCTTATTTTTATCTTATTTTAAAGAATTTATGTTGGGGGAAAAAGAGTGTGGATGCAAGTAGAGCTGGCTTGTTTTTACACAATATTTAAAATATTTTGATTAGAAATTTTTAAAATGTTAATTCTTCATTTATTATCATATTATTAAATGTATTAAATTGTAATATTTTTTGGTAGGGCCAATGAAAATCTATCCCATTTGGCCATTTGAAAAATTTCTTATCCTTTAGCCCTTTATAAGTCTAAAATTTCATTTATAATGGCCTTAATGTCTTTAAGTTTAAAATTTAACTTGGTGATACCTGCAGAAACCCTGCTAACTTCTATTTTGGACTGCATCAGTGTGCGTGCGTGCGTGCGTGTGTGTGTGCGTGTGCGCGTGTGTGTTCACCTAGGCTATTAGGAATACTGTCATGAATAATTTAAAATTAATTTTAAAACTAACATGTTTGTATTTACAGTTGTTGGGATGCTTCATATTTTGTAGTTTTTTTTTTGATAGAAAGTGCAGATTTTGTAAATGCAGATCTTGTATGATGAAATGCAGTCACAATTATTTCTAAAGTAAGAAAAGACTGATAGGTTTTGGAAGTATTATTTGATTACTGATGTGCATGATCTTCTTTTTCTTCCTTTTTACTGCTTTTTCTTTTTCCAAATTTGGTTTAGTGCATTTAATGTCTTGTTTGTGTCTTTCTCAGGGCTGTTCTTCTCCCATCGTGGTGAAGTTTGCAGACACACAGAAGGATAAAGAACAGAAACGCATCGCCCAGCAGCTGCAGCAACAGATGCAACAGCTCAATGCTGCCTCCATGTGGGGAAACCTTACAGGGCTGAACTCACTGGGCCCACAGTACCTTGCAGTGAGTACACAGAACAGATGCTGTTACATTTCTGTGCATGTAGAAACAGCGACACAAGTGTAAAAAAAAGACTGTAAAATCTGCAAAGTGCACTGCGTAAGCTATGTACAGCAAAGTCTGATTAAAACATTTTTCACATAGTCGAACAAGCACAAAGAATTTGGCTTTGATCCAAATAGGGGTGTCATAATCTCACTATTTACTAGTCTTTAACTTGAGTTTGTGCAGCTGTAGAAACTATACACGAATCATTATCTGTGACTGAAATTACTTTTTATGCCTTTAAATGGGGCACTATTTGAGGGGACAGACATTTGTAGTCACGTCTGAAACCATAGTGGACATAAAGTACTCTCATTCGTTCCCATACTGCACCAGGATATATTTATTATACAGATTATATAGAATACCTTCGAGTTGTTATGCGAGAAAAAATTCAGTGTTGCATATTATATTAAAGTTTTACTTTTATTTAAGTTTGTGCTTTTTAGTTTTAGTGTGATATTTTTATTTGTGCTGATTTTCACCATCCCCTAAATTATGCGAGTTTCAGTACTGGTGCAGTTATAATATAGTAATATGTTGTGATACCCCATCCAAATTAGCTTTTGCTTTCTCCAAACTGTAATAAGTTGTTAGTTGCATCTGTAGTGATTAGTTTCCTCAAGAGTCTTTTAATTTAATGAGTCTGATTCGCCATTAAGTTTGCTGTGTTTTTTCTGCTGTGTTTGAGCACATGGGCTACAGGTCTGTGGTTGGCTGTTATTTAGCTGCATTTAAATTGGCTTTTCAAATTCCCTCTTGACAGTCCATTATTGGTCATTCCTAAAAGCTCAGTTACCGTTTATTAGTAGGCCAGCACAGAACTATAGCCCTTTTTGAATGTGTTAGTGCTGCTCCATGGGTGTGCTGTGAAAACTTTTTCTATCTTCATCTTTTCCCCGTCTAATCTTTCTCTGAGTCCTTCTAATTTCTTTTATAATTTCGTAAAGCCCCTGAATGTTAACTTTTCACTCCACTTTGTTTGTCTTCTTCCCCACATTTGCTCCTGCTTGACTTTATTTTGCCTTGTTGCCTGATTTATTCTCCTCCTCCTATTCTCTCCTCTTCTCTCCTTCTCTCCTCTCCATCACAGTCCTGGATGCAGTCCTGACTCTCTCTGTTCTCTGTTTTGATGTAATGTCTAGCTTTATTTGCAGCTTCTACAGCAGTCTGCTTCCTCTGGAAATGCGCTCAACAATCTCCATCCAATGTCAGGTGAGAGTCTGACGTGCTTTGCTCTGTCCATAACAGGATAACACCTCTTGGCTGATTGGCAGATAACTTAAATATGTCCTACTTAATTTCGAAGAAACTTCAATAGCCATGATGTCTTTCTATGTTTATTTTTTAGTCTGTTACAATAGGGGCTTTCACACTGGAGTAATGTTTTTGGCATGTCCACACCACAGGAACTGGGAACAGTTTTAGGAACACCATTTGGGTGAACAAAATTGGCCTCTACTTCAGAGCAGGGTCTAATTTAGCACAGTAGGAACCCAATGTTTGCCATAGGAAACACAAGCACAGAATTTTAAAGTGTTGCAAGACTTATACACTAATAAAGCTGGTGGTAGAGGCAGTTGCCTGTTGTGTTTTTGTCTGTGGCTTCGTTCTTTTTTTTTCACTTGTCATTGGTGACTTAGTTCTTTTTGCTGTTTGGAATGCAAAAATTGTATGTCGTCTACTTTCCATCTCCATGATCAGTAAGTGCACTACACCATCCTCCATCCTCCAGTTGTGTTGTTGCAGTGCTTGAATTTCTGTTGGCCGGCTTGCATTACGACAGAGTTCTGTGAATGCAGTCAGGAAAATAGTTCTCTTGGAGCTCTGGTGGCTAGTTCTTATAACATATATGACTAGTTCTTATAATAGTTCCTGTAATTTCAGTGTGAAAGGCCTAGTCTTTTTTAACTTTTATTATTATTATTTTTTTTGTTGTACATATCCTTATACAAGGTCTATTATAGGGTTCTTCGGAAAGCTCAAAATAGTTTTGCAGTTTTAAGAGTGTTGTCTGTTCAGTTTAGAGTAAAGAAAGAAGGTTGTGAATGTTACTGAGAGGGACTCAAGTATAGTGTTGTCTATTTTAATTGAATTCTTGTCATTCTGTGTGGTCTGTGATCTGCGGCAGGTCTGAATGCCATGCAAAATCTGGCTGCATTAGCAGCAGCAGCGAGTGCTACACAGGCCACACCTACAGGTAGCAGTGCGCTGACCACCTCCAGCTCCCCTCTCAGCGTCCTCACCAGCTCAGGTACGCCCTCCGGACAGCCTGCTCAATCTGCCTGGGATGCCTACAAGGGTTGGTCCCGCTTTTTTAATCTCCTCCTCTTCCTCCTGTCCCTAACTATTGCATCTTATCATTGTATGTGAGATTCAGATCCTAGCCAATAACAAGGTTTATTACACAGTGAAGTACAGCATGATTGAGTTAATCAATGTGTAAGGTATGATGAATAAACAATAAACAATCTAACAGCATTTGTTAAGCTTAATGTCCAACAAGTATAAATATATTTTTTAAATCGTAATGTATTTTTAAGTAATGAGCAAAGTAATCATAAATCTTAACCTAAATAAATAAGGTAATCTATTGTGTCGGTGCATGTTTATTCCATCTGTAAGTAAAGCAGCGCATTTCAACCCTGGTCTTGGTGCCCCACACCTCTGCATATTTTGTACATCTGTTAGTTTAGAAAGTTGCACTTCCTTCTTAATCCCATCTTTATTGCTCTTTACCTGAGCATGTTCATTCATCCATGAATTTACAAAACGGCATTGCTTGCAGCATCTTCTTGATAGAGAAGCATAAGGTGCGGCATAACATAACCTTGTAAATAAATACAATGTAAATTTATACCACTAGAATGCCATTTAAAAGAAATCTATTTGTTCCCTTCAAACCAAAATAATGCGGATTATCTATGTGCAGTGCACTTAAGGTCGAATTGAAACAAATGTCTGAAGTGAAAAGAAAAAGGCATGAATTGTGCAGTGGGCCATGACAACCAGGGTTGAGAAATGGAGGGACAAAGGCCAGGTTGCTGATATACAGTGGAAGGTGGCATGTTAGTTTAAGCTTTAAATTTACCCCAGAGACTTTGCAAGCAAAAAAAAAAAAAAAAAAGAAATGCATTTTTAGAAATGCATTTTTCACATTGTATACCTTTTTTGACTAGGTTTGCCAAGCAATATTCATTTTATTGTCGTGTCCCTTTGTAAAATGTCTGTTGCTTCTGTTTGATAGCCAAGTTGTAAACTTTTGCAATGCAACTTAGTGATCGTCATGTGTAATATCAGTGTTGCCATAGAATACTAGTAAATGTTTCATAAATGGTGGCTTACTGATGTCATCTGTGACATTTGCTCACTTGTAACCATGGGAACAATGATGAGCCTCAAGCCATCAAAGCTAAAGACGACCAAAAGATAGTATCATATTGTAGACCATTATTCCTTCATTTGTATTCATAACATGAACTAATGCATTAATACGTGCTTGATATGGTTAAAGATTAAAATATTGTTTATTGTTAAAATATTATGGCTAATGTTAATGATCTGAAACTCTGACTTAAAGTATACAAATTTCCCCAAACTGTAATGTGTACTGTTTTTAAACAGGCATAGCTACTTGTGCATGTTTATTCCTGGTAATTGCCATCAGTTTTTTCCAAGAGCTCTCTTGTGTATTTGATCATTGCGGTTCATGTTTTGTTCTGAAATACACGACTGCTCTCATTGCTGTTTTCTGTCAGTCTGAGTTGCTTTACTAGTTTTTGTGCAATGACAGCATGTGAAATCTAAATTGACATGTCTGAAGTCTTAGTAATGTGTCGGTGCTGGTTGTTGTTTTCTCTCGCCCTCACAGCAGGTTCCTCTCCCACCTCCAGTACTAGTTCTTCTGTGAACCCCATGGCATCTTTAGGTGCTCTTCAGTCTCTTGCTGCGGGCGCTGGAGCAGGTCTCAACATGAGTTCCCTAGCAAGTAAGGAAGAAGAAACTTTGATTGCTTTTGTATCATGTCAAGATGGTGTTGCTAAAGCTATCAAGATCCATCTCAGTTGGTTTATTACAAGTGGTCAGCTGACAACCACGCACAACCCAAAGAATACCACACAAATTCGTCACCCTGTTGCCTCCTAGATGCTTTTAAATCTGTCATAATAAATCAGTGTTCAGAGGGTAGTTACAAAGATATTCCTCTTTTTGTGATGAAAAGGTCAGTGTGTTTATTAATTACAAAACAATTAGAGCAATATTAAGATTTATTACGATTTACATTGAAGATACTACTCATCTTTCAGCAGTCGTCAGTGTCACATCATTTATTAAAAACCATTCTGAAGCTTTAGTGCTTACTACAATTATCAATTATTATTGATGTCTAATTTCAGTAGTTGTTGTCAGGGCTTAATATTTTAAAACTTAAACAATAGCTGTTTCCATACACATTTTTATGCATATTTTGGATATGTGCATAAAAAATCAATTGATGGAAACGCCAAGATGCACATAAATTTTGAAAATGCGCATAAAAACATATGAGCATAACTGAGTAGGTTACATTTTTTGTTTGATGAGAAAATATTTGCATAAACTATGAAAGAAACACCTTCGACCAATGTGATTTTGATATAAATAATCATGTGAGGATAATACTATGTGTAAATGGACTAACCAGCAGGCTGAGCACATTGTAAAAACATCTGAAATGTTGTTTTTGGTCATTGTAAATGCCTCAACCATCTTAGTATTAGTGTTATTATACTATTAATGGCCTCCAGAATCAAAAATGTCTGTCCTTCAAAGGCCACCGCGTGACAGCATTGTCTTCCAAGTCATTTATCAAACTTACTTTACTTACTTTATTTAATGTCACATAAATACAGCCTTGTTAAACATGAAAAATAAGTTCTGAATGATTTGAATCATTTGTTTATAAAACATTTGGGCCCCTTTTTTATTATTATTATTATTTTTTTATTTATTTTATTTTTTTAGTTAGCACTGACCACTTGTGTTTGACCTGCCTAAAAAGCTGTTGGTGTGTTATTCCTTTTGTTTTAATTTTCCTTTGCTTTGTGTTTTTTTCTGTGTCTTCGTGTCTGAATGTGGTTTCTCTCAGTAGTTTTTCTGTGTATGTCTGAATGCTGTGCTGTGTTTCTGTGTGCACAGGCATGGCTGCTCTAAATGGTGGTCTGGGCAGCGGAGGTCTCTCCAACGGCTCTGGAAGCACTATGGAGGCTCTGACTCAGGCGGCCTATTCTGGGATCCAGCAGTATGCAGCTGCCGCTCTGCCAAGCCTCTACAGTCAGAGTTTACTGTCCCAGCAGAACGTTAGCGCTGCTGGCAGCCAAAAAGAAGGTGAGTCTTGATGAGAAGAGTAGTTACTTTTGGGTTTGAGGATTAAAAGTTCATGCTAGAAGGGTCAGCTTTTGAGATCTGTTTTAGCCCATGATGCTTTTCAGTCTGTGTATATAAATGTGGCTCTTGTGATCACCATCTTAAGAATTCATTCTTGTTTTAAATATGCTGCAACAGCAAGTCTCAATCAGAGCGTGGGTAAGAAATCATAATCACTCTCCACCTTGTCCGTTTGCTACTTTTTGGTTTGTTTAAAAATGAGTATCCATACAAGCAGCTCTCTTGCCAATGAATTTAAAGAGTGTTCTGGCTTAAATACAACTTTGAGTCTAGTGGAAAACTAGTGGCATGCTTTTCTGTGCAGTATTTTCTATTACCAGTTACTGAACTGTTTATGGTCAAAAAGATTAATAAAATCATCCAGAAATTTCTAAATGTATAACACACAATGTCAAGCCTGTAACCAGATCTGAAAATCTATATTTCAATATAGAACAAAAATAGTCAGTAGTCATTATGGCAGTAGCAAGTAAGCAGATCTTCTTTATTAAAGGGTTAGTTCACACAAAAAATTAATTAATGGAATAGTTGAGATTTTCACAACATAAATTTAAGATTCAAGGCCAATTCAAGAGCCCTCTAATCCTCTATTGACAGCAATGGACTTGAATTTTTTAAAATACCTAAATAATCTGAATATTGTGAAGCTACAATACTTAAGTGTGCGCATAAAACAAAAATGAGTTTATTTAATAGTTTCTTCTAGTGGACTCCTAACGGACCACAAATCACATGGTTCGGATCACTTTAGGGTTTTTTAGTCATGGATTGGACCATTTTTTGGATCAGTCAAAATGGGGAAGAGAATAGAATTATAAGGTTCTATCAGACATTTTTGTCAACCGAGTTATTGACATTCTGATTAAATGACATCTTATTTACATTATGAGATGTTTTTATAAGTAGTTTTCATTTTAAGACTTTTTTATAAAAAACTGTTGCTATATGGAATGCAATAATTTTTAAAGCTCAATATCTCAAAATCATTCAGAACACTGACAGAACCTTATTCCAAGGTGACCGATACGAACCTCAGTATTTTTTTTTGGCTCGTTTAGGGAAGGGATTAGCAACATAAAAGGACACGGAACTCAGAAGTACAATTCTCTATTTATTTCAAGACCAGAAAATAAGTGTCTGATCAAATTATGGATCATTAATTAAACGATATTTCTCAGTCAAAACAATTACTGAAACAAACGTACATACACAAAACATAAACCATAGAGAAAGCATAAATAAAGCATAGATCAACAATGAATTAATTAACGGCAACAACACCAGCATGGCTCCTCAGCAGCGGCTGCACAAGACATGCACAGAAGTCTCAGACCTTTATCAGGACAAGATGCGTAGAGATTCTCAACAAGTACGGGTCATACTCTCAAGAGAGTAAAAATCGGGAGGATCACTCAAAGGCACTGGAAAACAGAGAGCCACCCCCAACACACACACGAAGCTTCCGCTTATAAAGGCGACAATACAAATTAGCGGCAGGTGCCAAAGAAAAGAAACATTAATTAGTAAAATCAACACTTCAGAGCAACACAAGGAAGATGATAATAATAATAATAATAATAAAGTATAAGGAGAAATAAAGAATAAACCGTGACAGTGACGAAATTTAATTGGCTTTCCATTTATTACAAAAACAACACTGTAAGATACTTTTGGTTTTAACAAAACTTAGAACCTTTAATTTTATGAAAATTAGCAAAATAAAAATAAATTGTGAAATCTTCAGTAGTGTGAAAAGTTCACTGTTACCACTGTTGCTGATGACGCTAAATGTAGAAATTTAACATTTATAATTTGTACAACCTATATATTTTTTGTCTTATTTTCAATAAATGATTCAGTTATTCCCTCATAAAATCTTCATATTTCTTTGCTTAATGTATCATTTTTAAAGAAGTATTCAGTGGCATATTTTTGATGGCCGGTTGTTGCCACCCATTGGTTAATGTAATTGCGGCCTGCAACTTTCATTTGAGCATCAAGTTAAATTCACATGACAGTGATTTTAATGTTTACCATAAACGTCAGTGGTTTTATCTAAAATATAAACTGTTATCCCATCACTTCTGTGTTGTTTGACTGTTTGTAACTTCATAAATGACTCAAAATCCTAAAGACTGAATCTCTTAGGAATAATAAACATGGATGTTGCGATCCTGATCTTTTAATGATGAATCATGCAGCTTAGACTGAATGCAATGTTGCAGGCTAAACAAGTAGTGACAGAAAACACCTTTAATAACCTAAGAAACCCACCAAATCCTGAATAACCTACCAACAACTACTTCCGTCATCAATAAATTTTACAGGAAAGCCCAAATGCTTTCATACATGTAATTTCAATGACTATGATCATTACAAATTTGAAATTAATCGAAGTAAAAAAAAAAAACAGTATTAGCCTAATCTGCGGGTCTTGTATGTTCTGAACCGTGGGTTGTAATCCTTACGAATCACTAATCAACCGTGATCTGTTTAACCTCTAGTTTCTTCTTGTCAGTGTAGGACATGTTCATAAGCAGATTATTTCAAACAGAGGGAGTTGCTTGAGAGTGTTTGGGGTAAATGTCAGTGCAAAGCATAGGTCAATGTCAGGTAATGCATCAGCAGTGCAACCCCACACACACACAAAAGTGCTCTTGTGGCTTGATAAAACTTGAACCACTATAGTATATGGTCTCTTTTGAAGATGTTTCTGGTATATTTGAACATTTCTGGATCGTTGCTTTCTATGTAGAGTGAGGGAGTGGCCAGATTTCACCTAAAATATCTTCATTTGTGTTCCAAAGTCAAACAAAGGTTTCAGGGGTTAGGAACATGACATTCATTGAGTACTTGCTAAATAATAGCAGAATTAAATTTTTGGGTGAACTAACCTTTTAACTAATATATTTGCATTTTAAGGTCTCTTTAAATCCAGCAATCTGCATGTTTTTATTTAAATTGAGTTGTATAGGCTTGTGAATGGCTGGGCTATTTTCTGTAGCAAACAGCAGCATGCTTGAAGTTGTATTTAAAACAGAATCTTCTTTTAAGTCAGCAAGAAGCACGTGACAAAACATTGAAAATAAAGATTTAGGAAAGCTTTTAGACCCAGAATGTGAGAAATGTTTTCCTTTCTCAATTTCTGAAGGCCCTGAAGGAGCAAACCTGTTCATCTACCATCTGCCACAGGAGTTTGGTGATCAGGATTTGTTGCAGATGTTTATGCCTTTCGGCAACGTCATCTCTGCCAAGGTCTTTATTGACAAACAGACCAACCTTAGCAAGTGTTTTGGTGAGTGGAGCCGTGTTACAGACACACATGGTTGTAACTTGATTTGTCCCTTGATTTGTGTGTTGTCGTTAAATAACTCGAATCCATTTGTGTGTTGTTGTTGTTTTTCTTTTTTTAGGCTTTGTAAGTTACGACAATCCAGTTTCGTCCCAGGCAGCCATTCAGTCAATGAACGGTTTTCAGATTGGAATGAAGCGGCTGAAGGTGCAACTTAAACGATCTAAAAATGACAGCAAGCCATACTGAGTGATTTTGCTCTCAAATGGACTTGGTTTGAAAATGTTTTTCTGGTAAGTGGAGTGTCACGTTGGAAAGCTCTAATGACCCCCACACCCAACCCTTAACACCCGTCTTTCCTAATCCTCCTTTTACTTCTCTGGCCTTTCCTACACATCTTCTCTCTTAACCTTAAAAACATGCAGATAACCTAAAGACAACATGCAAATTGTTAACATTATGAATTTGTTCCAAGGAGAAATGAGTTGTTGTTGTTTTTCTTTTTCACATTTATATATCGATATCTATCTTTCTAATTGTTTTGTTGATCTTTTGTTTTCCCTTAAATCTTTTTCTTTTTTTTTCTTTTTTGGTGCCATATTACAAGTTTGCTGTGTATAAATCTTGCGTCAAAAGGATGTTACACAATGAAAGCCAGCCTGCGTGACTGCTTTCAGTCCCTAAGACTGTTGATCACTCCGGTCTGGCCCCTGTAGATGTTCTCCTGTGTTTACACTAGACTCTTGTAGTACATTCGGACAGTGTAATGCTGATGCCTCCTACAATGCTGCCTTTCTAGAAAATGAAGGAGGCTTGCTGCATCGGTGCAAAAGATAATCAGTCACCTGAAATATTATTTCGAGCATCTGGAAAGTCAGGCTGCACTCCTCCATTAGACTCGGTTTTCATGGATGCCTTTTTATTTAATTCATTTATTTATTTATTTCACTAATTTATTTATTTATTTTTAATGTGTCTGTGTCTTCACAATGAGGGTGATGTGACATTGCTTCAAACGTCTGTTTTATGTATTCTGTTGGAGGGCTCAGCTGACAACAGTATTGATGATGATGATGATGATGTTTGTTTTTTAATCACATTTTTTACATTCTAACAAAGACAAACACTATTATATCACGTGTTCATAGAGGACGGTTAATCCTTCAGTGTTGGCCGTTGGCTGGAGATGCTACACTTACTCTCAGGACATTCTCACCTTTCTGTCAGACCAAAACGTAATATTCTACTCACCTGCTACATAAAAAGTGATGGAGCGCTTCGTTTCAGTTCATTACTTTTCTCTTAAAGCCTCAAATTAAAGCAAATCCTTTTTCTGACCCAAGATTTTTATTCAACGCTGAAGAATCTGCCGGTAGCACGTACGGTTTTAAAATGGCATTTGTATAGATTTTATTAGAGTTTTTTTGGTGGTCATTTGATGTATTACTCAATTGACGCCTCGATTCCAGAGGTCCGCGTCAAAGCTTTTAGCAATATTTGCATACTGGAAAAGAGACTGAGAGATGACATTGCCAAGAAACCGAGCGGAAAAGAAGGAAGTTTACAATTGCTGAATTCATGGCCACTTAACTGAAGTTTATTTCCAAAAAAAAGCGTGTGTGGAGTGTGTGATCAGTATTTCATTCTCAGTGTTTGTAGGTGGTCTATCCAGACCCTTCCTGCAATCCTCATCATGGTTAACCTTGTGATTGTGTGTTTAGTAGTTACTCCACGCAGCTCGCTTTAGTTGAATATTAATAATAATGTTAATAATAAGTGTTCAATCAGATGTTAACGCCAATCTGAGTCCTGCAGGGTCGTGAGGTGAGAAGCTTGTTTTTATGGAAACTGAGAAGAAATCATTATCCAGATAGTGTATATTACTTAACTATTATGCCTTTTCTATTTTTATAGAGGTTTTATAATATTGCCTAAATAATTTCTCTGAATTAAAACGGTTGTTTAAAAAAGAAAATCTCTCAAGATTCAACAGTGTTTTTGTAGAATCCTAATGTGAAGTTTTGTGGATGCATTCACCGATTGTTTAAACTATTGATGTGTGGCCCTTTTCTTCACTAGATGTAGTGTGTCGCCTGTTAAGTCAAACAATTGTACCAAGAGCTCTGAAGCAGATCCACGGTTCAGTCTAAAGCTCTTACTCGGTGTAATATCCTTAAGTGCATCATTGTGAGTCATTTCCTCGCACCATACCATTAGTCAGAGCTGTATTAGTGGAATTGTATTCTCACATTTACCTCACTATTGTTGTCACTTTTTGAAACGCTTGTATTTATTAATGGTGCATTATTATTATATTTATATATTGTTTTCATTGCAAAGAAGCCAGCTCTTGTGAACTTCGCAATCGTACCGTTTTCCACGCTTCTCGATCCAGACGAGGAAACGGATGTGCCACTTTTGCTTGCTAGTTTGTTTTTAATTCATTAGAGACGCTGCATTAGACTGAACCCAGGTGTGAAGCCCCTCTTGAGATGCTAGCGCAGGGATTCCCTCTCCCTGATCTGTGCCTCTGTTCAAAGAAACACAGTTGTATCACAAAACCATTCAGTGGAAGGAAGGTGGAAGTGTGCCACGAATCACCATTTTGATCAATCCAAAGATTCTTGTAAACTTGTTCTAGGCAGGGATTCTGTTTGTCAGGCAGATTATTGTTATCATTATTGATCCAGAGCAAATTGACTGGCGTTTGTGCGCCTTTCCAAATAAGTGCAGAAGTAGTTCCACTAATGTGCCAAACACATCAAGTCTTAAATTTCTGTATGGGTTTTATGTTCCATCACGCTGTTGTCCTTCACCGAGTTCAATGTAGCTGAACTGTACTCGTTTGTGTCACCAACCAATATGAGCAGCTCCAAATCTATATGCATTATTCCACAGTCCCACACAATTCAGAGCTGAAGCACAAAATAAAAGGACTTTCACTGAAGAGCTGAAACATTGAAGCACAATTTTTCTTTTTGTTTCTCTCTCTCTCTCTTTCCCTTGGTCTCTAAATCAACACAATAAATGTGTTTGTGAGAAGTGGAACTGTCCAGGACAGTGTTGAGATGTGATAGCAGTCATAGGCAGGTTGTGTCGTCTCTCTCGGTGTTGTTGTTCTTGTTGTCGTCGTTTAATGTTATTCCCTTTGTTCACTATTGGCATGGTGCTTACCTCTTTCTTCCCACATTTCCTCCTCATTTCCTTTGTCGCATTCAGTGTTTTGTGTTTAGATGATGTGTGCACCTTTGAACCCCCCCACCCTACTCCCCATGCAGAAAAAATAATCATTCATGAATTTGTGTTATTTGTTTTCATCCCTTCTCCTTTTTTCCGTTATGCTTTAACCTAGGTTTGTTATTCGTTTTATTTTTGTTTTTGTTCTAGATATCTTCGTGCCCGTTTGTCATCGTTTGCCTAGCATGTCGATGTGACGTCAAAAGTTCATCGTCCAGTCCGTTGTCCTCTTCGCTTCTCTGACGCTTGAAATTTCACACTTGACCTTTATTTTGTTAACTTTTGACGCTTGTTGATTACTTTTTTTGTTTGTTCCTTTGTGTGATGTTCATTTCTGTCATTTGTGCTGCCAATAGGGGGCGTTAGAAAGACTGCTGGAAGTGTAAAAAGTTTCTTGAAAATTGTTTCCGATAGAGCAAAGAGTCTATTTTTCTAGAACGTTCAAACATAACCACTAGGTTTCTGCCGAAGCTTTTAATTTTTCCGATTCTTATGTTTTTCTTCTCTTTATGGGAGTTTTATTGTTTTCAAGCAGTCTTCCTAGCGCTTCTAATTGTACTCCTTTTTTGAGTTGTTTTTTTGTCTCTTCTCAAAGCAGCCATTCAGTTTGTAGAATCACTTGTGTGTGTGTGTTCCAGCGTGGGTGTGTTTCCCTCTTTCTCTCACTGTTAGTTCTAAACCTTTTAGAGGATGTGTTCGTCACATTTTGCTGAAGTCGAGGATAAACTTTGTAATTTTGTGTTAGGATAGTTGGCATGATGTAATTTTTGGGAGTTTCTATTAACAGAGTGACATTACAATAGACACTTGAATTGCCTTTTTTTTTTTCTTTGTGTGTGTGTGTCGAGCCAACACGGGCACATGTTTTTCATTTTCCTTATTGTGTGAAAATCAGGATTAGTCTGAATTAATGCATAGAATGAGCAGAGTTGAATTTCTTGTCACAGGTAAATATTAAGCATGCATGTTCTTTTTGTTTTTGTAAGTGCACTGAAATCCTCAGCAAAATGTGATCTAGTTCTGTTTCAAAGTCAAGATGAATAAAGTGGTGCCAAAAGTTTTGCATGTCGCTGTTGGTTACATTTGCAATACGTTTCACGGCTTCTGCTATTATGGTCTCATTTCGATGGATTAAGATTTAAGAACATTACAATGTGCTTAGGCTATGAGTTTTAACGATGTATTCTTGTGAGTCCTTAGATATAAATTGTGCCTACTACAGCAAAACATATGCTCTTAAGATGTTGTTCAGTTAATGATGCTTTGTTATAACCACACCGTTGGTCTGTTTTACACTCGGCTTGCAAGCTTTTGTTTTCCCCCTCCCTGTTTCTTTTTCTCTGTACAAGTTGTGGACTGAATGATAGAGCTCACCTTAACTTTTAATTTGAGGGGCGACCCTCTAATGTCCAACATGAACGAAGAGCTACATTTGGGAGTTTTCTTGTTTTTAAAAGATGTATTCTGACAGACTAATCCAATCGGGGGTTGAGGTGGTTGTTTTCTATTTAGATTTTAAGCTGCTGTTTTGTGAGTTCAAATGTACTCTCTGAGTTCAAACAATTTCCTGTGGGATGTTTGTCATTACTGGTACAGAGTGATTGTATTTAACATTTAAGATTTGTACAGAGTTTGCCTTTTTCTACTTCATAAGTTGTTTCACAGTGTAAATCCCATTAAGTAGAAGCATGTAGACCGTAACGCCATGACCAAACATCAACCTGTACAACTAAAACACAAAGGAAAAAAAGTCTACTCCACAAAGCAGCCTTTAACTGATTTAAGATGTTTTTAAGTTGTTTTGTCATTTAAGTTGTGTGGTTTTCATTGCAAGTGTAGAGAGTGCAGAATTTCTTAGATGTCTGAAATCAGTGTGTTGTATAAGGTTGGTTAAGGATTTCGCACTACTGTCTTTTCAGAAATATAGCAAAGTGGGCACCCATGAAGCAGTCATCTGGTAGTTTCTCTTTAGTTTATGTATGATTAAACTGTTTGAAAAGATTCACACATGCCGTGTCTGAATTCATTTCTTTCCTCAATTTAAAAATGCCAGAAATCAAGCCTTTGTTGTGTTAATGTAATCATTAAATAATGTAAGTTTGAGTCTCTTTCCATTCCATCATGAAACCTAATGTTAAGGCTGGGTTGTAGCGTTAGGCAGTCTTATAAATTGTAATAGTCAAAGTCTAGATCATTGACATGCTTAGTTAAATGTTTATCAGATACGTGTAATATTTGTGCCTAATAGTTAGGGTTAATGTTTACTCATGAAGTCCTGTGGTCTGCAAACTCAAAAGCTGTCAGTTCCTAACTGCAATGTTACATTATTGAAGAACAAATGTGAAAGTTTTACACTTTAATACATGAACATAATTGCATTTGTAGATCAAAAGTAAATCATCAATAAAGACAAGTACCTGAATAATTAAACTCAACAACAGTCAAATCCTCAGAAACTGTCGCTCAAATCTGGGAAAACTGAAACAGATTCAAAGTCATTCTCTTGAACAGGATTTTCATCAAACATGCATCACACACTTTAACAGTCCATGAGGAACCAGTGCAAACCCCGTCATACTGAAGGAAGACATTGTTTCCAACTGTGATCGTGCTTGGGATCAACTAAACGCAGGTTTTTGCAAACACGTAGTTTACAGCAGACAAAAGGTTTTACACCCCAGAGGTCTGATTTCTAAAGTTTAAGTAGAAACCTTTATTAAAAGTGAATGTACACCCGAGTGAACTTCTCCAGTAATGATCATGGCTCATATGATGATTTAAAGTGCTTCATTTAAGTTCAATCTGATAAGAATTTACTTACAGCTACACATGCTTCTTTTGACTTTTATTAAAAAAAAAAGTCAATCACAACGTTTGCATGGTATGAATGTTTACACCTCCATTTTGTGCACAAACCACAAATATAATGGACCCTAGTTGTTAATGAAGGGACTTTAACATTACATGTTTAACCACTTCAACATCAATCAGATGGAGATTGGCCAATTAAAGACATGGTTCAAGCAATAAGGAAAGTTCTGTCATCTTTTATTCACCCTTCACAGGTTAGACCTGTGTGGTTCTTCTGTTAAGCACTATATATTCTAAAGAACACTGGACTGCTTAGACACTTAGTATTACTACTCTGGACATCAATGGTTATCAGTTTCCAGCTTTCTTTAGAATAACTTTTAGGTTCAGGAGGGGGGAAAGAGCTTGAAGATAAGTATATAATGAAGATTATATAAAGAAAATATCCTTTGATAGCTGTGACAACAAGTCCAAGTCAAGTAAGTTACTTCAGTGTGTTCCTAACAGGGCATATCATCTTCTAAAGCACAGGTGTCAAACTCAGTTCCTGGAGAGCACAGCTCTGCACAGTTTAGCTTTAACCCTAACTAAACACACCTGATCAAATTAAGTCCTTCAGACTTGTTTAAAACCTACAGGTGTGTTGAAGCTAAAATGTGCAGGGCTGTGGTTCTCCAGGAACTGAGTTTGACACTCCTGCTCTAAAGGGAACTTAAGAACGTACTCGCACTAGGTACTGTTGCCTCGAACCGGGCCAAAGCACGCTTGTCCCCCCTCCCGTCTCCCCCGACGGCCCGCATTCACACCACAAATGGGCCTCGGCACACTTGCGTCATCGCTGCTGCGCTGTTCAGTGAGAAGCGGTCTCTCACTCAGCCGCACAGTGGAGATTTTTCTAGTTATATCATTTCAGTGGTTTGTTACGCAGTGATATGCAGTCAAATATCTCGCCAAACATTCCTTGGATGCGGTGATACGCAGTCAGATATTTCGCCGAACAGATCCGCCACTTTTGGCGCTCATAAACAATCATAAAGCTCTTGCGCTGCAGGAATGAGGAGGTCTGCTGAAGGCGTGCAGCTGTCGTGCAGTGAAGAGTTCTCATCTTTAATAAACTACGGCAGTTTGCGTTCACTGAACAGTAAGATTGATTAATAAATCCATATGAAACAACCCCTAAAGTCACGTCTCGCTTTTAGTTTCAGGCTTTGGCGCATTTTGCACTCACACACAAGCGTACCGCGCCAAAGGCCAAGTGAACTGTGCTCAGGCCCACCTCTTCCAACCGGTCCAGGGCTGGCCGAGTGAACCGTGCTAGAGCCAGATTCAGCGCACTCATAATTCTCAAATGATCCGGGAAATGGGCCTGGGCACGGTACGGATAGCATAGTGTGAGTGGGCCCTAAAACTAAAAACTATGTTGTCCATGTTGAAGTGTTTGCTCCAAACTGAAGTGCTAAAACTGGCCACTTTAAAGAAATGAAATAATTTCCAAGGAAACAACTGATGGACACTTCAGGCCAGGATGCTTTGAGCAAGGTAGTTGTTTAGTGTCACACACAGCGTTCAGTTCAGAAGAGCTCATCCCTATGCCCAAATCCCTTCAAAGAGGTCCTCCAAAGGAATAATAGGGCACAGGAATGAACTTTTCTGAATGGAGCATGATATTTCAGTTTGTTACATGACAAAAGTAAAGATACAACCTTCCCTTCTATAGAGTTGGTAACTGTGTGATGAAAGAGGAGTCTGAATGAAAGCACCACCAAGATGACAACATGGTGAATTGACAGTATCTAAATTACATTCATACTACAAAACGAGTACCAAGTACAATTTCATACTCAAAGATAGCCCGTATCAAACTATATTGCATAGGTTTAGGGTCATTCTAGTGGAAATGACCTGATTACTTTTTTAAATTCTATCCAGACCAGGGATGCCCAAACAGTCCTAGAGGTCAGGTGTCCTGCTGAGTTTACTGTAGCTCCAACTAGTCTCCACACACCTGCACAAATGTTTCTAGAAATTGGAGTAATGCTGTGGTCACACTAGAGTTTGAGCTTGCTAAATTCTGTAGTATGGTGCTGTGAATAGGGGCAGGATTAACCAAGATGACTAAACATTTAAAAAAGCGAGCGATTGGTCCATAGTTTAAATATCTCTCCAGAAAGGTCAGGTTTTGATCCTTGATTAGTCTTAAGCAGCCACACAATGTGATTCTGTAGGTCAGAGTTCACCAAGCTTGAACTTTGTTTGCAATGCAGCAAACTGCGAAACTTGTCACAGGAACTTGCGTTTTCGGTCTGATGCGTTTGCACACGTATGAATGTAAGTCCATGGGGAGAAAAGTCCAGTGTGACCTTGGCTTAAGAACTAGATTAGCTGGCCCAGGTGTTTTTGCTAAACTATTTAGGACATCAGCTCTCCTGGACTGAGTTTGGACACCCTGGATCTAGACCAGGGGTGGCCAACCCTGTTCCTGGAGAGCCACCTACCTGCAGATTTCAGTTACTACATATATCAAACACACCTGAACCAATTAGTTAAGAAGTGAACACCATGTGATAATTACAGGCAGGTGTGTTTGATATGGGTTGCAACTAAAATTTGCAGGAAGGTGGCTCTCCAGGAACAGGGTTGGACACCCTGGATCTAGACCATCTGTCATGTCAACACTGCTATCTGTCAGAGTTTACTGTTGTTTTTAGAGAGGTCATCAATATCTGCACCACTGACAGGACACAGGTGATTATAACTGGACGTGATGTTAATTTGGACAGACACTGAATATGGATCGTGACCAACAATACGGTGCAGGTTTGCACTGTCCCACCGGAGCTCTTCTAGGCTTTTCTCAGTCTTCAGAACACCGCCACCATTTCCAGATGAGTCCACGTTCTCTTGGTACATAGTGTCCCCTAAACATCAGACCAGAGAGATTATTAGAGTCTTTAAGGCTTCATCGGTCTGTCAGACAGACATTGTATGCATTTGTCATGTAAAAAGACACCCAAACCCCCTGCAGTCTTCAGTTGAGTGTGCACTTTCATGACTTAATACTGATTTACCCATTTATGTCATTTGTTTATTGATTGGTGTGTTAAAATCAGCTTGTACCATTCCTGTGCACACAGCAGCCAAAACACCTTGCCTTCAGAGAGCTAAAATAATAATGTAGGTCCACAAAACATCTGTAAACTGGAAATGTGCCCCTTTGGATTGGTCCAAAGTCAGAGATTCCTGCTCCATGTCACTCAATTTCTTCCTAATCAAACTTGCAGCATATTAAAAAAAGCCTTTAAGACCAGAAATGTAAGGATGGAGAGGAATGGTGCCATCCACACTGTACTATCAGCGAGCACCCAGGAAAGATTACATAAGCTATTGTTTCCAGTGATGTACTGTTTAACATAATTACCTGGTAAAAGACTTACAAAGCCATCAGAGGTCAGCATGTGAACAGGAAGCCACTGCTCACAGCCCTCTGAAGACCTCTGCCAGGCAAAGTGATGGAGATCTCTGAGAGCTGGAAAGCGGCACATTCGCCCAATGTCATAGTACTGCGGGGGAGCGATCCAGATGTCCCTCGATTTGTAGCTGCGCAGCACGTCTAATGGCGTGGACCACTGACAGAACAAAGCAGTAGCGTTATTTGCACAGTTCACTTGCCACAGTGCACACCATCACACTTCCTGAAAAGAGAAGCCAAACATTTCAATGGTCACCTGGCTGCAGTACAGGTCATAAACCCCATCCTCTATATAATGAACCAAACTAAAAACATCCAGTTACACCTGAATATTAGGTGGTTCTTTAGCAGGTAATTGTTCAGGTGTATTTCTCCAACACTTCTGAGTTTAGTTAATTATGTTCTATAAAATAAATGGGTTGCGCATCATCATTGGTGTGCTCTGATATCAACAATGAAGTCTTGACATTCCAAAGAGATAGTTCACCATTCTTCAACATTCACTCACACTTATGTGGCTATAAGTGTTCATGAATTTCTTTCTTCTGTTGAACGCAAAACACTTTTTTCACTTTTTAATTAGGAATATTACTGACTAATATAAAGTGTTTATTTGATTTATTTACAATACAGTTTGTAAAGTAATATAATGTGTCTTTTAATAGATATGAGAGACTTTCTTTGTTTATTGAATAAGTGGATCTAACCAGATTTGCATTGAAACATTAAAGAAAAGTTAAAAAGGCATTACTTTATTTCATATATTAAGTTTTAGTTATGATACTCCTGAAATCATTCTGCATTTTTTTTTTTACAAAATTCTCCACAGAAATAGTAAAAAATTCTGTCTGGCCCTAAAGATGAGTAAATAATGACAGAATTGTCATGGGTGATCATCTATCCCATTAATTGTAAGTATGGGGGTGGGGTAAGGTCTGGGAAAGTTTTAGTTCATTAGTAGTTGTTTCTTGGCCTTTAGTCATTTGATGAACAGCACTAATTAGAAGCAGCATAACTAATTAATAAGCACCTTGTATCATTATGAATATTAACGAGGGTTCATCATAGTGTGCAACTATTTGCTGTTATTTTGCTAGATAAATGATCTATGACTGTTCCATGGTGCTGTATCTAGGCATTGGCCGGTATGAGATTCTGATGGTATGATAACCTTGAATGAAAATATCACAGTATTGTGATTACTGCTCTAAAATATATTATTTTTAAATGTCTGGATAAAAAAACAAAAACCGTTCCCTTTTTGAAAACAATGAAGTCTATATATATATATATATATATATATATATATATATATATATATATATATATCAAAGATTTATAATATTTTGGAGCAGTAAACATGTCAGGCTAAATAATGAAAATGAATCATTGACTTCTGCCGTCTTCATTTGTTTAAAAAACACTGATTTCTTTACTATTTAAAACGACATATTAGGATATTGTTTTCTGCTAAAGATACTGCTGTCCTAAAAACCAAACAAAAATGTAAATAAAAAATCCTACATTTACCTTTGGAACGGTCTTACAGAAAATGTTGGCGGTTTTAAAACCTTGACTTTTCTAAACCGCGGTGTACATTGAAAACGGTTATCATCCCATGCCTAGCTGTATCTACCAGATAATAATGTAATGTTGGACACAGCAAACATCTAACAGGTCACCGCTGTAATTTGTACACACACACCTTAAAGTGAACGATCTCCTTGTCGTCGTGCAGTGTGTGTGGAGTCTCCTGCAGACAGCAGATGTAGAAGGCCGTGTCGTATCGCCTCTGTTTGCCGTACAAGCCTATGGGTGTCAGCCAGTTCCCCCACTCGTGCAGAGCCCAGATGTTGGGCAGACACTGCAGCTCCCTGCACATCTTAATGAAGTTGGCAGGGTCTCCAATAACCCGAGATCTCCACTTTGACAGCACCTCTGTGCCCCACTGTCCGCTCAGTCTGGTCAGGCTCGGCTGCGTATCCAGGCTGCGCGTGCGGGTCACGCTGTACTCGTCTTTGGGAAGAGCTAGAAGCACACCGGACTCCTCAAACGTCTCTCTCACGGCACATATCCTGAAAGCCACGTCTCCCGGGATCGGAGAGCCCAGCTGGGATCTGTCAGTGGCGAAGATGGGCGGCCTGGTCTCCGGCGACTGCTTCACCACTTTGACGCCGTAGTTGGGCGCTTTGGTGAAGGGATTAAAGAGCTCCTGCCACTCGCTGGAGAAGTCCGACGCGTCTACCAGACCGCCAGGAAACACATAGGCATTGGGCATGAACCCGCTGTTCCTGCTGCGTTTCAGCAGGAGCACTTCATAGTCAAAGGCAGATTTGTGCGCTACATCTGTGACTTTCTCCAGCCCTGCTTTAAGAGTGTCTGCAGGCGGAGCGCGCCTCAGCCCGGCCGTCAGAATCACCGTCGCCGCTTCCCTCCAGTGTTTCAGCGCCGTGTTCATTCTGACGCCTGTTTACCTGTTCATCACTGAGAGAACCTATCCGGAAACTTTCGACGTCCGACAACTAACCTGACATGTCGTGAAGGACAGCACTGATAAAATGGTAGTGTTTTTATTGTTTGATCATTGAGCGTCATCTACCGCAAGGGATGAATGATTACGTCTCATTACTACATTTACCTCAACATATTTTTTTCTCGCACTGAAGAATATTTATACTACAAGTAAAATTAATTAAACATAGTGATTTATGACATCAACCAAATGCAAAAATACCAACACCAATATCCCTGACTATAGTAGCCACAAACATCTGTGTGGTAAATAACAGGCTTGAAATCAGAGAGATCAGAGAAATCATTTATTATTCAATCAGACTAAACCCATATTAACCCATATGCTTTCTATGGTATGAGGTGTATTTCTAAGTACAGAGTGCAAGAGTGACGGTTTGGTTATTAACAGCAGTATTTCCTGCTTCATAGCGATTACACAAAAGTTAAGCAAATCAGCAGCAACAAGATGATTCACAATATGAGAAACTTTAATTCGCAGCAAAAAATAAAAGAAAATCAGTCAAAGACAAAGGGTACAGGACTGTGTACAGGATGGCTTTAATGTGGAGCAAAAATACAATCCTGTAAAGCATTACATCAGTGAATTACCATAGTCACTGCATTTAAAGAATTGTTTAAATGCGATTCTTCATCCCCCCCCCCCCCCCTCTCTCTCTCTCTGAGTAATCTTTGGCCAAAACTTAGATTAAAAAGCAAAATATTAATAGCACAAGATGTTGTTACATTTGTCACACTTTAACTTGATATACATACAAAAATATAGTAAATTTAGAAGTTAATTGGAAATGGAAGTAGGAGATATTTTCATGTCTAGGTACATATTTGAATGCAAAAGTTTTAATTTGGAGTTTCCATATTTAAGTGTATTAGTTGTGTTAGCATCATCCTCGATAACACGAGTACATGCGCAACTTTATGTGATGTTTTTTCTCCACAAGAGGGCATCAGAGACAAAATAATCCAGCACAGTTTTTGGTTATCACAGAAAAAAATGACTGGAAAAGTTTTTTTTTCTTGTTTGTTTTTGATACTAATGTAAACAGATGTGTTCATTTCAACTTACACATAAAAGTCACTCTTGTCCATCTGGACATTTTGACCCCCAATATACAGAAAACTAGACGTGAGGAGAAGATGCATAATATGCATCTAATTATTTGTTGTTTGTTATTCGTGCTGCTTCATGGGAGTGGGCGGGGCAAGAAAGTTTTTGTTTGCTTACTTTAAGGATTGAATCATGTTTTTTCTCTGAATTCAAGAAAATTATTTACAAAACTATGTTCAAATAAGAAATAATGTTTACTTAGTGCTTTAACAAAAGTGTATAGAATTGGTTACAATCGTTTGTAAAAAAAATAATTGGGATGAACTGTAAAATGAAATGTTCAGAACATCATTGGTTGCACTTTATTAGGATCTAAGAATAGTGAGCAAAATAAAGTCCCACATTACTGCAAGTCCTTTTATTTTCTATGAGTTGAGTGACTTTAAAGACTGTGCTGCTGGTCCTTTAGTAACTATGAATGAAAACATTTGTTTAGTATTCAAAGAAGACCATTTTATTCTGGATAGTTCATTTCACCATTACTAGTTTATACCTGTCCACAAATATAATCATTGCATTACTTTACAACAAACCTGCATATAACAATACAATTATAAGTTAAATAAACTTAAATTTGCCATAATTTACAGACATTCATGATGTGTTAGGCGGTATTCTTCAAAGTAAAAAGATAACCCTGTGACCGGGGAACATACATCATATGTAAAACCAGCTGGTGTTCTGGTGTTAGTTATAAAAAATAAGGATGATAAAAAAATAAAATCTGTCCATATGCAGCATGCAGTTCCCTTTAAAGATCCTTTATCCACATTTGTCCATTACTGGCTATTACATCAGTGTCTGACCTCAGGTTTGACATCTGTCACTCGATCTTTTCCGGCGGGACGACCTGCAGCAGCAGCTGAAGATGCATGGTGAACGGCCCTGCAGAAAAGATCAGCTATTTACCAGAAGCTATTTAATTATCAAGCCATTTCTTCACTAAATGTTTATTGAACATTGACTAAAATAACATTAAGGAAACTTTTACTCCGCAAAAAACAACATGCAGTTATTATAGGCAAGATAAGTTAAGATAGACAAACATTTTGCTCACTCGATTGTATCCAAATGTGTAATGACCAGCTACTCACTCATTAAGCGCCGGGTCCAGTTGAATTTATAGTGGATGAAGGGTACATATAACAGAAGACCACCGACTATGAACATTGTGCAGTACAGATACTCCCACTCAGGCTTGTCAATGATGGGAGCAAGAACCAGGTAACAGGACACCACCACCACTAAAGCAGGAATGACTATCGGCACCTGACGAGAGCAAAAGACCCTCATTTTCATACATAATATAAATACAGCAGGCACAGAAAGTAATCAGACCCCTTACATTTTTCACACTCTGTTATTTTGCAGCCATTTGCTAAAATCATTTAAGTTCATTTTTTCCTCTTTAATGTGCACAAAGTAACACAATTTGACAGAAAAACACAGAATTGTTAACCTGTTTGCAGGTTTAATAAAAAGGAAAAACTGAAATATCACATGGTCCTCCTCAGTATTCAGACCCTTTGCTGTCTATTTAACTCAGGTGCTGTCCATTTCTTCTGATCATTCTTGAGATAGTTCTGCACCTACAAGTCCAGCTGTGTTTGATTATACCGACTGGACTTGATAGGAAAGGCACACACCTGTCTATAAGACCTAACAGCTCACAATGCATGTCAGAACAAATGAGAATCATGAGGTCAAAGAAACTGGCTGAAGAGGTCAGAGACAGAATTGTGGCAAGGTCCCAAAAAATGTCTGCTGCACATAAGGTTCCCAAGAGCACCGTGGACTCCATAATCCTTAAATGGAAGATGTTTGGGATGACCAGAACCCTTCCTAGAGCTGGCCGCCTGGCCAATCTGAGCTATTAGGGAAGAAGAACCTTGGTGAGAGAGCTAAAGAAGAACCCTAAGATCACTGTGGCCTTCCACTATTCGGGGCTTTATGGCAGAGTGGCCCAACACATGAAAGTCAGCATGAAGTTGCAGCATGAAGATTCTCTGGTCTGATGAGACCAAGATAGAACTTTTTGGCTTCAATTGAAACCTGGCACTGCTCAAAAGTGGAGCATGGTGGTGGCAGCATCATGCTGTGGGGTGTTATTCAGCTGCAGGGACAGGACGACTGGTTGCAATTGAAGGAAAGTTGAATGCTGCCAGGCGCAGGGATATCCTGGATGAAAACCTTCTCCAGAGTGCTCAGGATCTCAGACTGGGCTGAAGGTTTACCTTCCAACAAGACTATGATTCTAAGCACACATTTAAAATAATGGAGTGGCTTTACAATGACTCCGTTATTGTTCTTGAATAGCTCAGCCGGAGCTCTGACTTTAACTCACTTGAGCATCTTTGGAGAGACCTAAAAATGGCTGTCCTCCAACATTTACCATCCAACCTGACAGAACAGGAGAGGATCTACTAAGAGGAATTGCATCTAAAATGATCCCCAAATCCAGGTGTGCAAAACTTGTTGCATCATTCCCAAAAAGACTCATGGCTGTATTAGATTAAAAGAGTGCTTCTACTAAATACTGAGCAGAGGGTCTGAATACGTAGAACCATGTAATATGTCAACAATTCTGGGTTTTTCTGTCAAGATGTGCTACTGTGTGTACATTTTAAAGAGGAAAAAATGAACTGAAATGACTTTAGCAAATGGCTTCAATATAACAGAGTGAAAAACAAAGAGTACTTTCTGAGCTCACCGTGTGTATTATGTAGTTCATATCTGAATAATGTATCATCATTCAGAATGCTATGTTCTTGTTATATTTCGGTAGTGGACAAAAAAACTAGCTTTCACTTTAACACACCTCTTCTGTAAGAATGAAATTAATTTATAACAGGGCTGGTTAAAGGTTAAATTTGTCACATTTGCTGTTAATTTAGCCACGCTCAGGCAATTAAAAAATAACCTTTAAGTAGAGTTTTAGCTGAAACTGTGGACCTTGGTGATTTTTAAAATGCAAGTCAACATCTACTTGCAGTTTCAGGGTAAAAAACAAAAAAACATTGCAGCCATGTGATGTCATTATGCTACAGAATGCTTGTACTTCAGGTCTAATAATGTTGTTTATAGTCAGGAGCACAATGGAAATTAATTTTGTTTTTGACTGTATTTTTAACTCGAGTTTTATAAAACACCAATGACCACGGGTTCAACTTTTAGAAGTTGAAAAATCAGCTACATCTTGACTGAACTAAACTTATACAAAAAGTTTTATTACAGGAACATAATAAACATTAACTGAAAAAAAGTATATTGTGTTAAAATGAATTACAAATGAATAAACTATAAAGGGATTTAAAGAAAAAAAAAATGACACAACAATACAGTGGCTTCAACTAAAATAAAAACAGAAAATTAAATTATTTACACTAATAAATTCGAATTATTAATAAAAATGACATTCTCGACAATCATAAAAACAAAATCGCGTCACTTCTCATTACGCTTCTCAGCTTCTCATCTGGCTAACCTTTGCACTGCTGGAAATATTGTTGGGTCTTCTTACGAAAAGCTTTTGATGCTCATAATTTGTTAAAGTAGTTTGAGGTGGCACATATTGTAAAATGATGATGTCACAGATGATGAATAACGTGCTCTAACCTTGACCGGTCTCTTGAGGTCCTTTCTAGTGAATCGCATAACGATGAGTGCCAGACACGTGAGCCCGTAGAAAAGCCACGTAGCAAAACTGAAGTAATTGATGAGGGTGTTTATGTCTGTTGGCATTATGTAGATGATTGACACGATGCCCTGAAAATCACACACAAGAACAAATACTGCCTCACAAAACGAACAAATCGTTACTGACTGTGCTTAAAAGAAGACGTGTTTACATTTACCATCACATTTGTTCTACTATGCAAAATATACTGAAAGAATTGATTGAGGTCCTACGTTAAACATTAGAGCTGGAGAAGGTGTGTAACGTTTCACACTGATGTAAGACATGATCTTAACCATGTGACCCTCACGGCCCGCCACATATGTCAACCTAACAAACAACAACGGCAGAGAGTAAGATAAGGCTCAGAAGACAATTTTTGTTTAATCTATAAAGCTGAAGTTCCTGACCTGCCGGCGGTGAAACAGCTCCCATTAGCTGCACCAAAAGTGGAACAGACCACAAACACCGGCACGATCCATGATAGTGGGTACAGCACTCTGTCACCAAATGTCTGTAAGAAAAAAATCCCAGAGTGTTAAGTAAAATACAGCTCAAGAATCAATTTACATTAAAAGGATATTTTCTTCTAATGAATGATGACATGGGGAGTTTTATTAATGCTTTCTTTATGAATAATTTACAACGTTTCCAATTGTGAATGTTTATGGTAAGGTATTTTTTTACATACATCTTTTTTGAAATTGTTTAGTTTAGTATATCTGTACATTGACGATTAACAATGGCCTGATATTTCCAGATTTTATAGTACTCTCACCACAGCAACAGCTGAAGACTGTAGAAGTTCAGTTGAGGTCATGACACTGAAATATGCAATGTTGACCATTATATAGCACACGGTCACCAGAGGAATCCCAATAATGATGGCCAGGGGGAGGTTTCTGTTTAAAAACAAGACACTTTCAACAAGGCCTTCATGGCTAACACTGAAAAACTGTATGACAGACTAGATTTAATGTTGGAAACACTGACATGCATACAGAGCTCAGCATAATTGAGTACACCTCATTTTGAAACTGAATATTTTTCTCCATATCTCAGTGAATATAGGCAATGTATTCTGGTGCATTTAAACAAAACAGATTTATTGAACAGATATATTTATTAAAATAATATTTAGTCACCAAACATATCTAGAAATTGAAAGATAATACAATTAAATTCAAGATAAATATTGCAAAAAAATGACAACCTACAAAATTTCAACTACATTTTTCATATTTGTTGCTTCTAGATTTTTCCTCTTTTTTTAAAAATTTGTATTTAATATGTTTCTATAACATATCAATTTGGCTGTACTAGTTATTGTATCATTATGTAAGTTATTTTGTTAGATAAGCTCCAGATTTGGCCTCAGTACTGACTAATCTAATGCATATGCACAAATATAATATTGTAGAGCTTCCTATTAAAATTTGAATTTAAAAGAGAGATTTCTGAGGGGTGTACTCATATATGCTGAACACTATAGGTAATTATGCAACTGATTAAACCTTTAATGTGTTCCTGTTACTCTTACTTGTATGGATTTTTCAGTTCTTCTGTAATAAAGTTAAGCTGATTCCTGTGGAAAAAGGAAAGAGAATTTCTACTGAATATTAATTGGTGTTCGTCAACCCATCTCAGATATTGTCATAAGATTAATGTATAAATGTAATGCAATGCTAATTGGCAGCTTAATAATGACAACTCAATAATAAAGATAAATCGACTTGCAACATTATATATTATGCATTTTCCCAAAATATCAATAGATGTATTGACACATACTGACAACACATCTATTGGTGCATTGCATGGTCAATGTTCATAGTGATTACTTTGCTGCTGTGTCATTTAATAGTGAATGTATGTAGTTTTTTATTAGGAGTTATGGTTAAGAATAGATCAGTAGGTAACACTTTATTTGGTAACACTTTATAATAACTACATGCTATAAAGCATTTATTAAGCATTAGCAAATAGTGAAATCATTATCTGTTAAGCATTACCTCTTCATTAATAAGCGTTAGTAAGCAGTTAATAACTGCAGCTACAAATGCTCTATTCTTGACTTATAAGCACCTATATAATGTGTTCAATAATAGTATTTTCATACTTAATGATTTATATTTCATCACTAAATTAAGCATTGCATTATTTACAAACCATTTGTATTTAAGAGTGGTTGAGGGTTTTTAGAATAATTCAAAATGAGTTAATGAATAATAAACTATTAAAAATCAACATTTATATATCTTATTATTCAGGCATATAGTAATAGTTAACTAATATGTTCATAAATTCTTTATTAACTCAGCTTCATGCAGTTTTGTGACCTAATCAAAAATGAGGACTATTTATGCTTTATAAAGCCCTTATAAATGACTCAGAAAGGCTTAGAATCAATTGAACTATAAACTTTGCAATCTTTTCTAAAAAGTAAAATTACTGTAAAGTTTAAACATTGCTAAATAACAGTAGTGTTAAAATATGACAAAGCTGGATAAAATAACAACAGCAATGTAATAATTTAATAAGATGCAATGTTTAAACTCTACAGTAATTTTATTTAAGATAATGTGGCAAAAAATTATTTTTCATTTGAAGTACAGTTTCGTTTGTGTATCTTTAAATTAATAGGAATGAATAATGTCATTTTTCCTGTTTAGAATTTAACTGAACCTTTATTTGTCATTTATAAGGGATTTATAAAGCATAAACAGTCCTCACTTTAGATTAGCTCACAAAACTAGATGAAGTTAAGTTAATAAAGCATTGAATATCATGCCTGAATAATGAGACATATAAATGTTGATTTTAATAGTTTATTAATCATTTACTAACTCATTCTGAATGATCCTAAAAACCCTCAACTACTCTTAAATACAAATGGTTTGTAAATAATGCAATACTTAATTTAGTGATGAAATATAAATCATTAACTAAGTATGAAAGTACAATTATTGAACACATTATATAGGTGCTTATAAGTCAAGAATAGAGAATTTGTAGCTGCAGTTATAAACTGCATACTAACGCTTATAAATTAATGCTTAGCAAATAATGAATTCACTATTAGTTAATGCTTAATAAATGATTTATCGTGTGTAGTTATTATAAAGTGTTACTCTTTATTTTGATGGCCCATTTGTTTGTTAGTAAACTGTCTGCTTAATATCTGCTGATTTTTTTCTCCTTCAACAGACATTTAACTGACTATAAGAAACTTAGTACATGTCAACTTACACTAACCCTAATCCCAACTTTGACCTCAACCTAACAGTCTATTGATAATTTAATGAGAATTAGTTGGCATGTAGATGCAATGTAACTTCATCAAAATAAAGTGTGAGCGATCAGTATGCTGGTGTAGCTGCATTGAGTTATTAATGTGTTCTCGCATTGGGCTCACACATAAACTCAGTACCATGGCTGCTTGTGCTTCAACATTGTTTGATAAGTGGTGATGGAAGTTTCTCTACCTACATATGCTGTGCCCAGAAGACCAATCACAATAGTTATAACAATGCATATTATAGGACAATGAAAGTGTTTTTTGAGCTTGCATGCATATCAGCCGGACCCCCAAAACCAAATTAGGACTTTTTATAATCCATAATAGAGGCACTTAAAGATTCAGGAAGGGGTTAGTTCCTTTTCCTAAAATGATTTAGAGCAAAGAGCACACTAGAATGTGTATAAAAGATTTCCACTGCTGCCTAACATCATCCTCATATGCCACACGTGCAACATTATATGACGCCATCAATCATTTACCATCCATCATAAGCCCAAAGACCGTTGTAAAACGCAAGGCCAATTGCTCCAAATGATGTTGTTGCCCCTGCAAATGGGTCTCTGAGATTCTGGGTATTGCCTGAAAAACCATTAAAGGACATGTTTTATTGGTCTTTGAACATTTACAGATAAGGCAGATAAGGTCCCTTTATCTCAACACACATATGCAGTAATTGCTTGCCATACAATGAGTCACAGCGTAATCAAACTAATTTCTTTATCTGTTATCACAATGCAGTTGTTTGCGATTCGTTTGACTGAATAATTATAAGATGGTCTTTTCAAAGTCGCATGTCTGGATTCAGTAAAGAGTTATAAGATATAAGACAGTAAACATTACCTTGAGCCAACATGACAATGCCTGAAACCACAATGATGATGATAATCAAGAGTTTGGCTGCTGTGAAAAAGTTCTGCACTCGGTAGGCCAGCTTCACGCTCAGACAGTTGACAAGAGTAATTATTACTGATGAGAGAACAGAGAGCATGTGAGACAGCAGATGAGGTCAGAATAATCTCTTCTTTTTTGATTGTTTGGAAACTGTTCAAATTTAAATCTAGATTTCAGATGCTTCCCTCTAGCCAAGCTTTCATTAAATGAAGCTCACCACTCTATTACAGACATGTTAAATGAATGTTGGTATTGCTTAAATCATCAGCTACTCTGATCTTTCTGTATTTGAATTCTGTTTCTGTCTATAAAATACTCTAAAAATACTAATAACCAGAAGACATTAATTTGGCACACAGTACTAATCTCAGATAACCACAGTACTCTAATAAGATTATTCATTCATTCATTCATTTTCTTGTCGGCTTAGTCCCATTATTAATCCGGGGTCACTCTTATAAGATCAGTTCACCCCAATTTTTTTTTATTCTGTTTATTACTCATCTTCATTCATCTTCTAAACACAAATTAAAATATTTTAGATGAATAATAATAATACCTTACATTTATATAGTGTTTTTTATATAGGACACTCAAATCCCTTTACACATATTGGAGGAATCTCCTCATCCACCACCAGTTTGCAGCATCCACCTGGATGACGCGACGGCAGCCATATTGCTCCAGACTCACACCACATACAAGCTGATTGATGGAGAGGAGAGGAATTATGATACTGGGATGGTTAAGAAGCCATAATGAACAGAGGCCAGTGGACAAATTTGGCCAGGGGTTAAACCTCAACTCTTTTTCAAAGGACATCCTGGGATTTTTAACAATCACAGAGAGTCAGGACCTCGGTTTAGCATCTCATCCGAAAGATGGTGCTCACTGAGCAGAGTCCCCATCAATATACTGGGGCGTTAGGACCCACACAGACTGCAAGTTGAGCGCCCCCTTCTGGTGTCACTAACACCACTTTCAGCATCAACCTAGCTTTCCCATGTGGTCTCCCTTGCAGGTACTGACCAGGCGCAGCCCTACTTAGCTTCAGTGAGTTACCACTGTGAGTATATGAAATCTCAGAGTTCCCGCTTTCTTTGTAGACAGTAAAAGGTCCCAGAAATTGAACCAAGAGATTTGTCTGTCAAAGCAGTCCTAGTGACTTTGTGAAATACAATTTTGCTGACCTTTTTTCTGTCCTGCATCAGGTAAAAGTGCACGTTTACTACATAGAGGATGATGTAATGCCATTATTGTCAGCATTGCAATGTAGTAAACAAACACAACAATCTGATGTGAAAGACATATTTGAACAATTTTTTTTTTTTTTTGGTGCACAAAAGAGTTCTTCAGCTTCTTCTGATTACTGTTTTGACCATTTTTGTTTCTTTTTCTAGACTTTGAATAACTTTGGACTGTTTCTGTCTATAGAGGCTGAGAGAGGTTTTTAGAGTTCATCTCAAATATTTTAATTCGGAAACTGAATGAAAGTCTCGCACGATTGCATGGGAATGAGTAATTATTGACAGAAATTTAATTATTATGTGAAATAATCCTTTAATTAAAATATATATAATCCTTAAATAATAATTTCTTTCTGTAAAACTACTTTAAAATTAAATATTATATTACATTATATTATTCATTCATTCATTTTCTTTTCGGCTTGGTCCCTTTATTAATTGGGGTCGCCACAGTGGAATGAACCGCCAACTTATTTAGCACGTTTAACGCAGCAGGTGCCCTTCAAGCTTGTCTGGGAAACATTCATACATTCTCATTCACACTCATACACTATGGATAATTTTAGCTTACCCAATTCACCTGTACAGCATGTCTTTAGACTGTGGGGGAAACTGGAGCACTCGGAGGAAACCTATGCGAACACGGGGAGAACATGCAAACTCCACACAGAAATGCCAACTGACCCAGCCGAAGCTCGAACCAGCGACCTTCTTGTTTTGAGGCAACAGCACTACCTACTGCGCCACTGCGTCGCCACATTATATTATATTATATTATATTATATTATATTATATTATATTATATTATATTATATTATATTATATCATATATCATATCATATCATATCATATCATATCACATTATATTATATTACATTATATTATATATAAAACCAAATTGATTTGAACAGAGATTTTCTTTACATACACTGTTAACCCTTACTGTAGATTATGCAGTAAATAACTGTAAAATAGCCAGCGTTTAGCTGTAATGAAAGGAAACAGTATTTTACTGTAAAAGGAGCAGGATTTGTATGAAATTCTGTAGTCCAAAGAATAAATTACAGTAATTTACTCTATGTACCATTACAGATATTTACTGTGATAATAAATGGTAAATGACTGTTCAACCATTACTGCCCCATCTACTCTGATGCTTTATGTTGCTATTTTATATTTATTTTATCTCTGTGTTTTCTTTGGTTCCTTTTATGTTTTTAACATTGAGTATCAGGAGTCAACCAATGCCACAGAGCTTATTAAAAGGTAAGTGTAAGATATGGACGAAATGCATTTAAAGGCAAAAAATATTCACACAGTGCAAAGAAATTGTCACAATAATTTTTATAACTTTGTTTACTTTTTCTATAATTAATCTAATTTAATTGCCTAGTTCGACCTATAGTTAAGATTTTAAATTGCACTTTCAACTGAATATTAGTATTTTGCTAAATAACTAGTAAAAATGTGTTATCAAAAAATATATATATCTTAAACAACACGCACATACATTTTTGCAGAGACTCAATGAATTTATCTGGAAAACTGGCAAGTAAAAGTGCCATTAACAGTATAAAGGCTTTCCTAAATAAATGTATAAATCATGATCTTTGTTGTGTTTTTTATTATTTTTTACTACCGATTTGGAACGACATGAGAATCAGATTATTTATTTATTTATTTTTCTATGGATGAAGTTTGTATTATTGTATATTTTTATTGTTTTTATTAAACGATATGTGCATAACTGTGATAAATGTAGGCAGTTGCTTTGAAAATATGCTATGTACCAGGGGTGTCAAACTCCTGGAAGGCCACAGCCTAGTAGAATTTAGTTCCAGCCCTGCTTCAACACACTACCTTAAGATTTAGTTTGATCAGGTGTGTTTAATTAGTATAACTGCACTGTTACTCTGTAGATTGTGCAGTAAATAACTGTAAACAAATAATGATTTAGGCATCACCACACACTCCCACAGGCTGTCCGTCTTTTTCTAAACACAAAGGTGTTAGAAAGAGTTTTCAGAAAATGCTGGCCCTTTAAGAGAGCCAGGTGTTTGATTTGTTTACTGCTGAGTGTGCTCTATTCTCTGTCTATCAATTCAGATGTTGAGTCTGATATGTTTTAGGCTTAAATAAGAATCTTAAATGAGTAAGTAAAATGTGTTCAAATGTTTTTGAGGGTTTATAAAATAAGGCTGTATTTTAAGTTATATTGTTGTTATCTTGAACTGTGTACTTGAAAGCTACATTGTTAGCTAGTTAGCCTCTCCTCATATAACTTCTTACATTACTTTTGTTTAAGTATATGTATTTATTTTATATTGCACACTGCCATAATGTACAGATGCTAACAGTTGTGTGTATCTTTCTGGCAACTAAGCCAAAATTAAATTCCATCATCTCAGTAAGGTAACATGTGCACATCATCACAGGGAATCACAAAAACATGATACACATAGATACACATAGCCATCCACACACAAAAGCTCCCCTGTCAGGTCCCAGGTTGTGAGTTTGTTGCTAAGTATTTTTCAGAGCTGTGTTTCCATCTATGAATTTATATTTGAAACAATAAAAAAAGTTTGTTGTCATGAGATAATTATAACAATAAAAGATTGGATCCTTTGGTTTTTCGGTGTTGCCAACTTTATTTTTGTTTTCTATAATTATTTTAAACTTTTTGAGATTTGACACAGTTTTTAATTATTTAAAACTTTAAAATTTAAAATAATTATTTTGTTTTTTGCTGTTCAGTTTTTTTTTTTTTTTTTTTTTTTGCATGGTCAGCATTGAGGAGAGAGTAACACATTTCACTGCAGCACTTGTGTGATTGTGTGATTGTGTGATGTGATTGTGATAAATGTTAGCAGTTGCTTTAAAAGTATGCTATATACCAGGGGTGCTTAATCCTGTTCCTGGAGATTTCAGTTGCTATCCATATCAAACACACCTGAACCAATTAATTACGATCTGAACACCACGTGATAATTACAGGCAGGTGTGTTTGATATGGGTAGCAACTGAAATCTGCAGGAAGGTAGATCTCCAGGAACAGGATTAAGCACCCCTGCTATATACCATGGGGGTCAAACTCCAAGTTACTGGAGAACTGCAGGGCAGCAGAGTTTAGTTCCCACCCTTCTTCAACATTACCTGTAGATTTCTAACGAGCCTTAATTAGTTTTATCAGGTGTGTTTAATTAGAGTTACAGCTTAAAGTCCCAGTCACACTGCACTTTTCTCCCTTTAGACTTCCATTCATACGCATGTAAATGCTGCAGACCTGGAATGCATGCTCATGTGACAAATTTTACAGTTTGCAGCATTGGAAAGTTCAAGTTTGGAGAACTCTGAACTGTGAAATCACATCATGTGATTGCTTGAGACTAATCAAAGATCAAACCATGACCTCTCTGAACAAAAATTATGGACCAGTTGCTTGCTTTTTCAATCTCTAAATATTTTGTTTAATCCCACTCCTTTTCGCAGAGCCATATGACAGAATTTTGCATGCTTAAACGTTAGTTTGACTGCAGCCTTGCTGTGCAGACCTGTGGCTCAGTAATATGTAAGATGATATTTATATCTGCTGATTTCTTAATTTTGTTATACGTTTTCTGTTTTATATTTGTTTGCTGCCAAAACAATAAAATAAATTTGTCAGAATTTACAACTTAATTAATTTAAAGAATTAATAAAAGGCAAGAATACTAATTAATTTTAGTAACACCTTGACATACTATTGTGTATGCAGTATAATGCTGTGAGTTGTAACACTACAGTACAGTAATTAACTGTACACAGTTTCCAGTTAGTTACCACTACTGCTCTATTACAGTGATTAACTGGCAACACTGTTGCCAGCTATTCACTGCAATGGTTCGGATACAGTAAACAACTGGCAACACTGTTGCCAGCCACTCACTGTAATGGTTCAGTTTCAGTAATTAACTGGCAACACTGTTGCCAGTTACTTACTGTAACCAAACTTTTACAGTGAGTAGCTGGCAACAGTGTTGCCAGTGTTCTACTGTAAAAAAGCCTGGTAAGGTCTAACAGTGTATAAACAGGATCTAGACTTCTACTTACAGATGCAAGCTGCAGCCAGGCACTTGGTGACCACTTGAGGAGGAGTGCATCCAGGGTAAAATGGGGTGGAAGCATATTCGGCACAGCTTAGGGCAATGATGGCAAAGGATGAAGGCTTTAATACGATGATGGTGGTCCAGGAGTACAGGTATGCCAGCACTGGCCCAAATCCCTCCATCAAGTATGGATATTCTCCACCAGACTTGATGATCATTGTGCCTAGTTCAGCATAGCAGAGGGCCCCTGCACACACACACACATGCAAAGCTCTTAGTTTCTCAGTGCTCAAGCTGAGGTCAGTGAGTCCATTAGCAAAAGGTCTTCTGCAGACAGAGTCAGTATTAACATAAAGAGGATTTCTGTGTCTTAGGAATTTTTCTGAACAGTATGTGACTTAAAAAGACTGACTGGGTAAATTTATCTGATTAAGCTCCTTGACTTTGACCAACTATAATCTCAGCCAAAAGATTTAGAAACTTGTAAGATATTATGCAGTAAAAGAACAATGAATTGAGCAAAATACACTGGCTAGCCCAAAAAACAATATTTGGTTGGACCACTTTTAGCTTTAATTATGGGGTGAACTAATAATCATGAGACCTATGCAATGTCTTTAGGTTCATTTCTATCCCCAACTGCATTAATTTTTGCCCAAGATCTTATATTGACCAATCACAATGCGAGAACCTTCACTATTTGACTCATCTTTATAAAGTCTTCTCCAGCACATCTCAAACAAGTTCAGAGCAGTTTAAGTAAATCTGTCACTGATTTAGAATAAAAACGAAGCATTGTTTTCATAGTTATAATTGCATAATTTGAGCTCCACAAATCTTTACAATGTCTCCCTGCTACTTTAAAACAAATAAGAATAGGGGTAGGCAGACTATAAAAATAACACATGTAAAAGAGGTTCTAAAATGTTTTGCTTACACCTGAAATAAACATGCTTTTTGGTAAATCAATTAAAAATAGACAAGGGAAATAATAATCCTGTTTGTACGTTTTAACTGAAGGTCTTTTCCTACCCTTAACCAAGTATGTTTTTAAATATTATATTATATATATTATATATTAAATATTATATATATATATATATATATATATATATATATATATATATATATATAGACACACACAACACAATGTCAATCTGATGTCATGTCGACGTGCCTGCTAGGTGTTTAAGGTCACCATTCAGTCATCTTTTCATCAGTGACATGCATCTATACAGTCTCTGGGTCAATGCGTGTAAAGATTTTGAGCATCTTCTTGGACACTTTTAATGGTTTTAAACAGTTTTCTGCAATTATAAAGTGCACATGTCTTGAGGTAGTTCATTGTGATGCGAATTATTTTCTGTGCAATTTGATTGGACAGGAATCACAGGACGGATTTTTGTAATCACCATAGACAGGAAAAAATAAAGTAGTGACTGCAGGTTGAAGGAAAGTAGTGGAGTAAAAGTATCAATACTGCACTAAAATGTACTCAAGGGAAAGTAAAAGTACATATTTTTAAAACTACTCAGTAAATTACAGTTTCTAAGAAAAACTACTCAATTACAGTAATTTGAGTATTTGTAATTAGTTACTTTACACCACTGAAAACAACACAGACAACAGGAGCTTTTGGTTGCCACTTAACTATGCCAAATGCTGCTAAAATTCAATTTTTTTCCCCAATTTTATTTATTGAAAAAAAATTTCACATCCAAAAAATTAAATTTTAATGTACATTTATGAATGAGGTCAGTAGACAGAAAGTAATCGGTCTTTAGTGAATTGATAACACTATGAAAGCAATTTGGTTGAAAGTGGACCAAACATTTTCAAATTCTATCCTAATAACTACAAAAATCGATTTGCAACATGACATAAATGGAACAATCACGCTGTAGCCTAGCTTTGATGTAATTACATAGTAGTTAAAAACACCTAAAAAAAATGGGACCCATATAAATTAGCACTGACCTATTTTCCCTTAGCATTCAGAAACAGTGAATCATATTATGTCACACAGAGTGATTATTACAGCCAAAGCAAATATGACATGATTATGCTTAATCTCAGGCATTTATCTGTTGTGTTATAAGCCTTTATCAGGCTTGTGAAGGTTTTTTAGATAAAGGGTGTGTTTGGTGAATACTGACCAAGGGTGGCCAGAACTCCACAAGCTGCCCACACACAAAGACATGGACCCACGGCTCCTGTTCCCTCCAGCACCGCTTTGGGGGAAATGAAGATGCCCGAGCCGATCATTGTACCCACTATCAGACAGATGCCGCTCAACAGACCCACCTGAAAGAGTCAGTCAAAAAGTCAGTGACTGCTTGCATGATTGTGTAACTTGAGAGCATGATATTAAAATGCGGGACGCATGATCAATCCATAAAACATGGGCTATCAGCTGCTTTGACACATTTGGCACTCCATCACTATCTGTTAGACATAATGATTTGTTGTCCTTTTTTAATATTTAGCCTACAACTGCTATTATACTTTCATTTAATTCTTATTCCCTTTTTAGTTATGTGCACCCATCGGTCACTTTATTAAGAACACCTTACTAGTACCGGGTTGGACCCACTTTTGCCTTCAGAACTGCCTTAATCCTTCATGGCATAGACTCAACAAGGTACTGGAAATATTCCTCAGAAATTTTGGTCCATTTTGACCTGATAGCATCACGCAGTTGCTGCAGATTTGTCAGCGGCACATCCATGATGCGAATCTCTTGTTTCATCACATCCCAAAGCTGCTCTATTGGATTGAAATCAATTAGTACTAATGGGCCCAAAGTGTGCCAAGAAAATATCCCCCACACCATTACATCACCACCAGCCTGAACCGTTGATACTAGGCAGGTTGGATGCACACTTTCATATTGTTGACGCCAAATTCTGACCCAACCAGCCAAATGTCGCACCAGAAATGCTGGACAGGTGTACCTAATAAAGTGGCCAATGAGTGTACATTAAGTGTAATGTTACATTTTATAATGTGAAATTATTTTTCAATGCACAAAACCTTTAACATTTTTATGACATTCTGCCAACCACAGACACTGGATTTATGTATGTATTACAGTGTAATTAATATTGCCTTGTCTAAGTTCACTTGAAGCATATAAAACAAATAATTTGATGTAAACAGTCATAATTCATCTCATGAAAAATGTAATATCTGTGCATGCCCGATTACATCCCATGGTTACATTCACACATATTAAAGGATTCTTTCACTTATTATTTACCCCATTGAATAAAAAAAATATGAAAAATACACTCAAGAGGTCATCTTGCATTAGTTCTGAGATACAAGCAAAAGAAATCCTTTAAAATGTGGCCCTCCATGTCCTTCTGAATTCACATGTCCATATAATAGTTAAACTTGTCTAATAGAAGTCACTAAAGACTCTGGCAGACGGGTCAGGAAGGGAAAGGATTACATACAGTGATGGCGACAGGCACTGCCAGGTTGACCCACAGTTAAACCCTTTAAACACTCATTCACATCGGTGGAAATCATTGATCGTGAAACATTCTTTACATTCTTGTGATGTGTAATGAGCGAGATTGTCTTTCTCATATACTCACATCCTGGTGCAGAACTGCTGCTTTAGGCTGATCTGGGTTCTTGGCCTCCACGGCTCTCGAGACGCTCCCATTATTTGCTTTCGTCTTTTTCAGATCCTCCTCCATTGTTCACAAGATCAACAGCTCAGTTTTAATTTTGAGCTTTCAGCCTGATTAAATAGAGAGTATAAATGAATCAATAAATAATAGAAAAGGAAACTAAGCCTGAACAGAAATCTAACAAGAGTTGCCTGAATGTTAGAATATAAAATATTCTTAGCATCCACAGTGTAATTCAACATGTCAGGTTACTTCAAACGAAAAAAAAAGGTCAAGGTTAAAGACATTATAAATGTGACTAAAGTAAGATGTTATGAACTCTCTGACACATCTGTTTATTCATACACAATAACATCTGCTCCGCATGCACCTTAATTCAGATTAATTAGTCTCCTAGCAACAACAGTGCCATAATCAAAGGCTAGTTTATACCATTATCAAGACGAGCTAACTAGAAAAATCTGAAGGCAAGCAAGTAAAACACAACATACATAATATTTGTGATGTGTTTTCAGTGTAACACTGGTTTCATTTCTTGTAAAGATATGTGTTGTGTTAATAAACTCATCTTAAGACTTCTACAATCCTGAAGTGTTTGTAAAACGGTTTGTTTTTTCTCTTCTACAGTTTAAAGACTAAGGCTGATGCCTACAAGCAGCTACTGAAAATAAATAGCATCAGTAAATTAAATGGGATTTGTATATTGATTTGGAGGCAGATACGTTTGTGCTGCCATTATCTGAACAGTCCATTATGTAGCCCTATAAACACTCTCACTTAACACAAAGATTAACTATTTAAACAAACACACATTAGATAAGCTGATTATTCTGTTTGCAAACATTTATCATGCTCGCAGAATATATCATCCACTGCACACAATTAACATCACACGATCTACAAACATTTCAAATTAATAAATAATGCAACACATTTTCTCTCTCAGAGCAATTTTAACAAAGACAAACTACAGGTAAACCCAAGCTTACTTTCAGTGCCACCAATTCCACCGTCACAAGAGAATCATGTTTAACTCAAGGCGAAAGACAAACCTGCAGTGCTATCAGCTTTTCCAGCAAATAAGTTCTGATCCATTTCCCAAAATTCATGTGTTTAATAAGGCAACAAGTGTGGGCGGGACCTTCAAAGTTCAGTCATTCTTCGGACTGAGCGTGATTGAAGAAAACATGTGACACAGAGAAGGAGAGGCAGCAGGATTGGCTGGAGGTGAGCAGGCTCTGACCAACACAATACTCCTTTCAAAGAGACACTTGATATGGTTTGGGGGGTGACAGAGAGAAGCCAAGGACTGACCAGAAACACAGAAGCATCTCACATCAAAAGCACTTCCTCAGTACAAGGCACTGATCAAATACACACTGGCCTGTGGAGCAGAGCAAGCTCCATGATGTCCAGGATAAATGCCTTATGCTGTGTTTTATACAGTCATAAACTTCTCTGAACGATGTACTCGCCTTATTTTTATTCATTGGCATTAGAATTCTAAAGAAATCAGGCATTAAATACTGTAGCGTGGTGCTGTGTAATACACTAATACATAAAATACTTTTTATGAGCGTTAAGCATTTAAGATAAAAATAACAGAGCAATTCTTTGCACCACCTAAAAATACTTTCTCATCTTACATTTTCTTGCAGTTTACAGCAATTATGAATCTAGTTACAAATGTTCACAAGATTCAATTTGAAGCTTTAAGTAAATTTTATGTAAAGAAAATTAAAAAGATGTGCCCCAGCAGGCACACAACATCATAAGACGTTAATATAAGGTTAGGTTTAGGTCGTGATGTTAGATGAGCAAAATTCAATGTAGCCAGCGTTTAAGGACAACATTATTTTAACGTCCAATAACAACATCAAGTGACATTAAAATTTGGTTGATTTTAGGTTGTGTGGGTAAGTGATCGAAATCCAACATTAAGCCAACATCTTAAACCAGGGATGTCAAGCTTAATTCCTGGAGGGCCGCAGCCCTGCATAGTTTAGTTCCAACCCTGCTCCAACACACTTACCTGTAGGTTTCAAACAAGCCTAAAGGACTCAATTAGTTTGATCAGGTGTGTTTAATTAGGATTGGAACTAAACTGTGCAGGGCTGCGGCCCTCCAGGAATGTTTGACATGACTTAAACCAACGACATTGATGTCAGACATTTGTCTGACATTTTTTCATCAAGTATGGCAACCAAAATCCTGACATCAATCTGACAGACATCATAGTGATAACGTCCACACATCATCAAGCTGTAACATCATTAGACACTGACATTTGGTTGATTTTAGGTTGTGTTGGAGAGTGACCAAAATCCAACATCTGTCCAACTTGGAAACTGGGTTCTGATGTCAACCCAATTTTCATTTCCACCCAAAATGCAATGACCCCCAACATTGGGGTACAATGTCAATGTGACACGTTGATGTCCTTTTTCTGCAATTTACTTTGATTTGACATAATCAACTTTTTAAAAAGTAGACTGTTTGTAATATACTCATCACAATCTATTAAACTCTGAATTGCTTAAAAAATATTAATGTATGTAGAAATCAACCCTATACTGTAGATAAATACGTAACACTTTACAATAACAGTACACCAATAATGATGTGTTAATTTGTAAACTAAACATTACTTTATCATGAACTAATGATGAGTTAAGGCATGCGCTAGCTTGCTAACTTTAACTACAACATGAACGTGTGAATAACGACTATCTTAATTACTTGTTAGTACATGATAGTTTGTAAAATAATGTATTTATCACCACATTAGTTTATGCTTAAATAAACCACCATGAGCTCATGACATGTTAATGTATAATTATACCATGACTTTATGGAGGAGCACATCACTATTAACCATTTATTAACTACTCATGAACTCCTTATGCATGTCCGTCTAGTGTGTTTACACTGAATAACAACAGAAAAGTGTTCTGTCAACATCAACATAAACAGTTTAAACACAGGAGTTCATGAGGAGTTAAGGATGAGTTAATGGAGATGTGCCCCTCCAAGTAAAGTCATGACTCGTGACATTTTTATACATTAACTGCCCATGAGCTCATAAGGTTGGTTAGATTTAGCTAAACCTAAATGTTAAGTAATACATCAATTAACAGCATGTACTAACAAGTAATTAGGTAGACGTTATTCACACATGAACATGAATTTAACAGCGTGATACAGCTAGGCATGGGATGATAACCGTTTTCAAGGTATACCGCGGTTTGGAAAAGTAAAGTTTTAAATATCGGCAAAATTTTCTGCTATACTGTTCCTAAGATATATGTAGGATTTTTTATTTATTTAATATTTTATTTACGTTTACTTTAATTTTATTTATTTTTTAGTTTTTAGGAAAACAGTTTCTCCAGCAGAAAAGATATCAAAAGATGTCATTTTAAATTGTAAAGAAATTTGTGTTTTTGAAACAAGTGAAGACAGCAGAAGTCAATAATTCATTTCAATTATTTAGACTGACATGTTTACTGCTCCAAAATATTATAAATGTTTTTCAAAATAAAATATATTGCGTTCAAAGGGGGAAAAATTGTTGTTTTTACCCAGACATTTAAAAAGATCTTATTTTAGAGCAGTTATCACAATAACATGAAACTGTTAAACCGTAATATTTTTTGTCCAAGGTTATCATACCATCAGAATCTTATATCGGCCCATGCAATATATTAACAAAGTAACATCTACACCTGTATTGTAAAGTTTTTCTATGAACAATAATGTCAACTTGCTTTACTATAATGTGCAACTAGCAGTGTTTAAACAACTCCTAAACTCAACATACCATAACCTGTAAATTTCATAAACATTAAACACCTATACAGGTCAACAAAATAAACACTGAGAAGATGAATGACTTATAACTTTAGCAGAGTTATTTTCTTATATTATTATTAACAGACTGCATTAGAGTTTTTTATTTCCTAAAATTTCTGTGTTAACAGTTAGCAGATATTAAGCAAAATGAGGAGGATGTCACGGCAGCTCACTGTCAATATTATACTTCCCTTCATTTTCACTTTTTTTTTAATCAAGGAACCTTTAAAGGCATGCAATACACTGACAGGCATCTTTAGAGAGATAGAGACTATGAAGATATCAAGACAGTTCCTTACCTGTGGGCTCTACTTCTTATCCCCAAGTCAGATTTGAATCTCCAAGTGATAACAGCAGAGATTGCTCACATTTAACAATTAACCCAACACTGTAACAGATGACTAACTGTGCACATCCCTCCTTCACGTGAAACTCTAAAACACAGAAAAACAAACACATCCCAGAGGGAAGTTCATGCTTATGTAACACATCCTCTGGCCGAATCACTTTGAAACTAGTTGTTCAAAATCACTTGAAAATGAATTACTCCAAACTAGTTCATTATGTTATGTTCATAAGGGCAAAATGAGCTATACATTAAAATCTTTAGTTTTAAAAGTTCTGTAAATGTTTATGTGACCCATGGTCATGTTTTATTGTTTTATTTTGTTTCTGAGATGTGGTTTGATAACTCCTCAAAGTTGCCAGTAAGATCTCACTATAATCACTATAAACACTTGGCTCAGAACACTCAGAGCAGAAAGAGTCAGAATAAATGACAATGTGCAGAATTCACTTGATAGAAAACAAAAACAAACATAATCTGTTGGAGCAGTCGTTAAAAATTAGTCAAAGGCATTATATGAAAGATAATTGCATTTTATATTTATTACAGTCCAGACAGACTAATCAGTGGATGATTACTATGGTTTTTATGGATGGATAAACCACGAATGTACTGTTTAAAAATGAATCTGCACTGACATATTACTTATAATACAGCTAGCTAATACTACTCAAAGTGTACTACTTTTTGTTTTATATTTGTTCAATGAAAGGCTGCCACTGCAGTCTCCAATCACAAGAGCACAACAATAGTGTGATTGAGCACTTGAAAATGACTCTGCTGACCTTACACTGAGATGTTAACCTAGATAAGGAGCAAACTATAACTCTAGACCATCCCAGAGGACAGCTTTAACAAGCTTTTCCTCCATCATCGGCTTTAACTGTTAAGTAGCAGCTGTAAATCTGCAGTGTTTAAATGTACACTGTGACTTTTACTTCATACTGAGATTTTGATGGCCTGTCACAAAATCTGTCACACACTCTTAGTACAATGGTGGTACTTTTTCAAAAGGTACATTTATTTATTTATTTTTTACAGTAGAAACTAAAATAGACCCTTTAGGTGAAAAAAAAAAAATACTTCCAGTGACTGCATTTTGTATTTCTGAGAGTGCAAATTCATCAGAACAATTTTTTAATTCTATGGCCTTTTTTCATTTATGTATTAAACAGTGTGATGCTTTAATCCAATACTTAATAGTAATGTCCAGTAGAGGGCAGCACTACTTTTCACATTTTCTGTTTGTTCCACTGATTGAACAGGCCAAAGTCAATAATGACTAGGCTAAATTCTGTCTTTATAATACGCATCACTTTTGTTGCCTTACTTTGCTTTAAGACAGCACAGTTAAACAAGAAACTCTATATAATTAAATAAAGGCCTTATAAAAACAACTAAACATGTCTATTTTTAAAACTGATGACTAATTGCTGCACTAAGTGAAGGAGTGAGAGTACTATGAATCAATTCACAGAATGAAGAATAAGACTGCTGGAGAGGTATACATTACCTGACAAAAGTCTTGTCCCCCATCTAATTTTAAAAAAAAACAAATAATAACTTGACTTCTAGATGATAATTTGGTATCAGGAGTGGCTTATATGAAAGGCAAAGGCCTTTAGATTACACTTATTTTACCTAACTAAAATATGATTATGCCTTTAATTATTTAATTAGGACAGTAAGGTCTGACTTTGCTTTGACAAAAGTCTTGTCACTCAACAGAAATAATGTACAGTATAAACTCATGGTGCAGTGGAAGAAGATTTAATATTGTGTATGACTCCCATGAGCTTGGAGGACTGCAGCCATACATCTCTGCAATGACTCAAATATCTTATTAATAAAGTCATCTGGAATGGCAAAGAAAGCGTTCCTGCAGGACTCTCAGAGTTCATCAAGATTCTTTGGATTCATCTTCAATGCCTCTACCTTCATCTTACTCCAGACATGCTCAATAATGTTCATTCCTGATGACTGGGCTGGCCAATCCTGGAGCACCTTGACCTTTTTTACTTTCAGGATTTCTGATATGGAGGCTGAAGTATTATAAGGAGTGCTATCCTGCTGAAGAATTTGCCCTCTCCTGTGGTTTGTGATATAATGGGCGGCACAAATGTTTTGATACCTCAGGTGGTTGATGTTGCCATCACTCTGAAGATCTCTCGCATGCCCCCATACTGAATGTAACCCCAAACCATGATTTTTCCTTCACCAAACATGACTGATTTCTATGAGGATCTTGGCTCCATGTGGGTTTAAAAATCGGTCTTCTGCAGTATTTGTGATGATTGGGATGCAATTCAACAGATGATTCATTGAAAATTGACCTGCAACTTTTTCAAACAATCAACTAGAAATCAAGTTATTATTTGTTGCTCTTACAATTGATATCAACGACAAGACTTTTCTCAGGTAGTGTATGTACATGAGTGTATTATCGATTAACTTCTGTTGTCAGGACCAAATGTTCCCTCCTGAGTAAAACCAATACCTTACACCAAACTTGAAAAAAATAAATATTATTATGACACAAAACAATACATAATTTGATTACTTAATGCAAAAATATTCCTGCAAGGCATAGCTAGTATATGTTTAGAAAATGGAAAATAGTGTTAGGCCAGAATAAAAACAATAAAAAGACAAGTCCCCCAAAGATAGCTGTAAAAACATGTGTGTGTTGCTCATTGGCTTCGAGGGAACTCAAGGTGCAGTAACGTTATAAGATGTCCTTGTCATTTTCCTCTGCTGTCAAAACCTCAGTCCACTGGGCCTGTGAAAGAGAACAAGTGACCTGGACTTGCAGAGATGTGCTTCACATTTTCATAAGCATACAAACACACACACACGCTCTCTCTTACACACACATAATGCCTTCTTCCTCTTACCTGTGATAAGTTGTATCTTTTTGCAGACAGTCGTCCTACATTTTTATCCTGATTTATAACAAAGCAAAGGCACTGCATGTTTCTTCCAACTCTCCAGTTCACTGGGCTACTCTATCAGTAAACATTCACATCACATAAACATATTCACATAACTGATGTATATTAAAACAAACACACATGCACCACATTAAAAACAGCCAGTCAGTAAAATAAAATCAACAAAGCAAACGAAGACATAGCTAAAGCACAGCAATGAATCAATAAACGGTTAACAATCAGCTGAAATATTACACCACTGCTAATCTATGAAATTTATCATCTATACCCTACAGCTAACCAGCAGTGCTCTATTTCTGCAGTGAGCTTGTACACATGCACACAGACTGCAGTTCTGAGACGCACTGCTACAACACTGTGCATAGTGATTGCTGGATTATAATTTTGCTCTAAATCAGTGCTGTGCTATTATGGAGAGAACTATTGGACTGTCCTAATTATGCTGCAATAGTCAGACAGGCTTTTTTTTTTTTTAATCGATTAGGTGTATTGCAATAGCGTCAGTCTTGTTAAATTGCTGTATCTCTGTAGATTTGTCCTGACCACAGCTGATTTGCTTGGGAATTACTGTTTACCTATGGGATTAAAATGCCTCTCTTTAGGAGAACCTTGTATCAGAGTTTTTATAAAGATGCTGCTTAAAAACAAATAAGCTCCAGAAAACATGAGAACAGAAAACTATTTATTTGTCAGCCCAATACCTTAAAAACAACAAAACAGTCTACACTGATATATCCTTGTGGCCAGTGTGCCAACAAATAGTGTCATTGAGCATCGGGTGGGCCAAGTTCGAGTCCGGGCTTGAGAACCTTTTTAGATCCTATTTCAATTTTTCTCTCTCCTTATTCTTCAGGAGAATTACTATTCTAATAAGTGCAAAAAATAAAAATAAAAATAAATAAATACTACTACTACTAATCCGATTATTAAGTCCTGACATATGTAATACTGTTTCTGACTCCATTCCATTACTCAATTGAATTGAGAAAGTATTTGTTTATGACCACTTTTTAGTCATATCAATTATTAAAGTGAATTTTATATAAAATCATGGTGTACACAACAGTCTCTGGGCTTGCTGCATCACAGACACCAATAATTTTACAATTTATGAAAAATGTATCACTTTCTGGCCATATTAGGCTTGGATGTATGATGGATGTGTGTGATTTTTGAAAGTATTACAGCTCTTTGTAAATGTTTATTATTACCATTTGTTGAGTCTCCTTATTCAGTTTCACAGAGCGTTTTTCAGTTTTCATTGGACCCGGAAGCTGCTTCGCGTGACATCACACTTAACAAGCGGCTGAAATAAAAAATCTCTTCTAAAAGAGAAAGTGGCCTTGTGCATTTCCCTTTGTTGGAAAACATGCTTTGTATTCAGAATAAGATTTCAATATTAAAGTTGGTGCAAACTACAAGATGCAATAGCCTTTTGTCCCCATTTGTAATGTCTAACTAAATGCAGACTTCTTGAGCAAAAAATGTAGTGCAGGAATTTAATTTGTCCATCAGAAATGGATTTGATCATTGATTGTTGTAGCAAAGCATTAATGTTGTTGATTATAAGATCACACAAATTACATAAAAATGATGAAGTTTATGGCAAACCATTTACAATAAAAGCTGTAATATTCCACAATTAAAATAATAATGGCTGCTATTTCTTTCATAATGGTTTGTAAATAACCTTGACCACTTTGCTGATGGAAGCATGTAAGTGTAAATCAAATGGGCTCTATGCACAGCTAGAGTTTTAAAGCCAATGATAAACTTCCGGTGAAAGCTTAATCGGACTATTTTCAATTTCACAAGTTGTTTTTACAGCATCAATGATGCAATGTAATTTAAATACTTTCAGTTAAATAGACTTAAGCATTCATTTAGTTGTTCAAGCATAAAACGAGATGAAAGAGCGTTGTAACTGCTAGCGCCGTCAGTAGCAACAGGCTAGCGCAGAAATTCCATTAAAAACACTGGAGTAAAATGAACTCATTTTTTTTAAGACATGGTGGTGGAAATTGAATTTAATGCAGTGCTTCTTGTCCGATCTAAGACTCACTTCATATCGTATATCTTACAGGCAGTGAAGATTGTAAATTTTTAGCAATTTTTTAATGAAAAGACACTGAAAGCTCACTGAAAGCTCTTGGGCTGCCTGGCTGAACATTAAAAGTCTGTGTGCATATAGCCCATTCTATGTCCCTCAAGATGAATATACTTTTGTCGATTGAAAACAGCAGAGAGCTCGCTGCATCTTATAAGCAGAAACACAATGAGAAAACCCATATCCTAAGGATAAGAGATTGCTGTCCAGAATATCTAGAATTTTGTTTTTGTGCAAACATTTACAAACTGGAATGCTAATTATATTATCACATACTGCACTTTCTAACAAAGGAAAACAAGGTGTATTCTTCTGTGCAAGTCCCAGAGAGAGAAAGAGAGAGAAGGGCAATGAGACTTTATTGCTCTATCATTCATCATGTGGCTTGTGTAACAAAATTTTGTGTGTTGTTTTGTGCATCCACTGGTGGAACGGCTGTCATGAATGAGCTCAGCGGCTATATACGTAAATACTGTACTGTTCTCCAGCTACAGAATAATCATTATCAGCGATTAAAACTGTTCTGCCTACAATTAAAATTCTGTCATAATTTACTCACCCTCATGTCATTCCCAACCCATAAGAAATGGGTTTATCTTTGAAACACAAATTTGAATTAAATCAGTGAATTTTTCACCCTACATTGAAAATTGTTTCACTATTGTAAAGAGATAAAAAAGTCCATATAAATCGAGCAGTTTAATTGAAGTCAATTATAATATAGCCTTGTACTCACATTTAAACACTGATCAGCAAACAATGTTTACAGCATTCAGATTTAGTTGGAAGCTCAATAATGCTTACCAACGAGGTTCATCCTTGCATGCAGTGTGCGAATAATACACTGACAATCGGAGGGGGACAACTTTTTCGGTAATGTGCGTTTGTGGAATACATGCTTCAGTGAATCAATTTCTGTATTTATTTAAACTACATCTAATTTACTTAGTTTTCAGTGTTCTGTGGAATAGGCTGTTTAGTGTATTCTGACCTGATTAGCTATTTCGACTTACTTTAGGTCAAACTATACATATAATTGGACTTATTTTTAGGCTATATGTAGAAAACAACACTTTCGGTCTTGTGAACTCTTAGGATTTCAGATGGATAAAGGACTATTTTCTCGCTTAGACTAATTGGCGCAACTATTCATCCACAATGGTATGAACCGTTATAGGGGTGGTCAACTGGATATCTGTTATTTTAATTATTAACATTATTATTATTAAATATACAGATCAGAGTGAACTTTTTTCAGATTCAAAGGGACCCCCATACACATTTTACATATAAATGTTTTGATGTCCTTTAGTGAGATCAAGCTTTAATTAAGGAGGCCCCCTGTAATTCTCACCCTGCTTGCATGTCATGCAGAACGGTTGAGTTCCAGCAAGAACCAATAAATTTTGTTCTTGTGCAACAAGTAGTTTTGTTTGAACTTTTGTTTATGTTTACTGAACAACATTTATATGAGAATAAAAGGCACAATATAACCTGCTCTTCTTAGAAACATTCATATCTATTCTCTATTTTTTAAAATTTAGATTTTCTATTAAAATCTCTTTATAAACATTTTAAGTGAGTAGACTTTCAGTGGAGGAACAAAGATCTAAAATGTAAATATATAAACCTTTTGTATATTCTAAAAATGAAGGCGAGAAAAAAATGAGTTAAAATTTTACAGAAATGAAACGTTTAAAAGTAAGAATATGGCCTCATGTATTTAATGGCCTCATGTATTTTACATGAAAACAAATTAGGCATTCAGGTAAATTCAGAAAATTAATTCATGAACCCAAAAGACTAATTAAGTAGGATATGGAAACATCAGGAGTCTCGTCCGCTCTTGTCGCTCTCATCAGATGATGGATTCTGGTGCTGGTCGGAGTCGGAGTCAAACATGGGGCTGCACTGTGAAGGATGTGGTAGACGAGACTCTCTGCTGATGAAGGGAGAGGGCAGCGAGCACGACAAATGATCCTCTGGATGGGGGATCCTGGCAGGAGTCCGGCCGGAAGTGCTGTGTAGGGCTGGAGCCACAGTGACTGGACTCAGCGAACTGCTCCTCAACACCACCTCTCTCAAGCGCTGACTCTCTCTGGTGGCTGCTTCCCAAACCACCTCCAACTCACCTTCCACCTCCCTGAAAAACACAAAGAGAGAGAGGTGCAGTTTCAGTGCAGTGCATAGGCTTTTTTTGATTCAAATACAAGCTCTTTAGTACCATCAATGGGAGAAATGCACTGCTTAAAGGTGACATAACACGCATAGATGTGTTGAAGAGCCCCTACAAAACTTTTTTTAATGTACTGTAAGACAGCTCTAAATAAAAATATCCAGCTGAGGTTTAAATCTGAAAGTGCACTGTAAATTAAACTATTGTCTCTCACAAAAAATGTCTACTTAGAGTCCTTTAAACGATTCACATTGGATTTGTTGTGAATTTGGCCCACTTGTTGCACATGCAGACCCGGGAAAACTTGATCCCCACCTCACCCACTGTAACAATTTGCAGGGGATGGGATTGCATCCGCATGTGAAGATGAGCAATCACTGATTACTGTGAGATGCGTAGACACGAGGATGTGAGGTATAAACAGTTATAGTTAATTTTTACAACAATACCATATTATAGGCAATCTTGTGTTATGTTCTTGTCATTTTATTGATCATTGCTACAGTATTCACGTCACATCTAAAACAATGTAGAAAATGTGATGCCATGGTGTCTGTCTTTGCCATGGCTGCCTTAGTTGTGCTTTCATAGTGGACATGAAAATCACATGAACTAATTCACTTTTGCTTTTATTCAAATGGTTTGAAGTCCACTGACTAAGCTTTGATGGGAGTTTCATTTCCAAAACGTGCTGTGCCCAGCTGACCAATCACAACAGATTGGGTCATCAGACCAAGACCAGATTAGCGTTTGGAAAGGAGGAGATTAATCACCGAACAAATCATATGAGAGTCATTTGGATAATTAAGTATAAAATAAATCATATTTTAAGAAAATGAAAGTGTTTTTTAACTTTATGTGCATATCTGCCTGTTGTTGGTGACCTTCAAAACTAAATTATGGCCTTTTATAGACCATAATATGGTGCGCTTTCAATTATTCTCTTAGATCTGCTTTTACCTTATTTGGAAGGGTCAGGAATATTAACAATGTGCTCTGCTCTGTCTGTTTAGTAGCGACTCACATAGAAAACAGGGGTCAACTGTCAGCCATGAATGCAGAAGCTGTGATGTATTATGAAATACAAGAGTGCAAAATAATCTTCAGTTTTATTTTATTTTTAAGTTGAGTAGAGGCCTTGTCAAATGTCAATCATTTAGTCATTTAAACATCAACTTAACCACAGTTCCAGTTGTATTTCCACATGACCCATGTATAATCGTGATTGTAAAGTGTGCAACTAAAGTGTGTAGTGTAAAGTGTGTGATGACATGCTCCGTTTCTTCATGTAGCTACATTAAACATGTAGCTAAGCGGAAACATGCAATTTCTTTTCTTTCTTTTTGTTATTTAACAAATGAAATATCAGATTATTTTTTTCCCTAAAACAGAATTATCTGATCATTACACATATCGCTGTTTATATTACATTTGTATTACAAATGCACTTGATCCATGACATGACAACAAAGACAAATGAATAAAATGTTATTACAAAGAAAATTTAAACAGAAATGGCTTTAACAGACAAAAAGTTGCAGGTTATTCCCTTATTCAGAATCAAAAGACTTTAGAATACCTTTAAAGGGATTTTGGCGCAGACTACATATTATTAATCCTGACTTTAACCTCAGTTATTGTTGTGTTTTAATTCGCCTGTTTTTACTGTTTTTTTGCTCAAAAAAGTTTTACCCAAGAAGGAAAAAATTAATAGTTTTTAGGCTCGATGTGTAATTCTCATGTGCAGAATTTAAATGATTAAACTATGCCAATATATATATCCAGTATATAAATATATGCCAATATATATATCCAGTTTTGCATTCTATGGCACCTTTAACGCAAAATCAAACACACATAATTCTATGCAAACTTTCAGTCATTTAGTAACCTCCAGTCAATTGCGGTGGATTTGCACACTGGGCTTTTGAGGTCTCAGCTGTGCAATAATAACAGGTATTAAGTGGAAATGCGCTGAGGCACAAACACGTACAGAGTGAGAGAGAACGATGGAGATGACCAAGTTGCAGAGGGGTGTAAGCTGTCATTATGATAGATCAATTAGCCAGACCATCTGTTGACGCAAATCCATGCACACACACACACACACACACAAACACACGGTTTATGACAAGCTTTCGGTCTCTCTTTGTCTCCCATTGTGTAGAAAATGGCGAGAATCATATTCATCCCCATTTAATGTGCATTTACACATGGCACGTACTACAGAAACAGAATGAAACATGACACTTATTCAAGTACATTTCATCTGAGACCCATCAAATACATGCTCTGAAATTGCAAAAATGACTTGCAAACACATCAGTTTAGTATACACAAAACAAACGCTATATTGTTTTAATTCCTGCATGTGCAAAAGCTAAAAACACATGCAGTGAATTTAAAAAGCTAAGACGTCTAGTTTTATATATCTTGATTTAAAAAAAATTATATAAATTGTTTAATCCCCAAACTGATCATCTAGTCTATGGTGTTTCTGTTGATGTGTGAAACTTCACTAGGCATTATATTACACAAAATAATAAAACAGTATGTGCTTTTAAAACTCATATTGGTGAGATGTTTTGCAATGCAACTATAATTTAAAAGATTATACCAGATTTCATGCGACATTTACATCATTTTTGGTCACATTTTATTTTGATGGTTTGTTTGTTGAATTACGTTACATTGCATCTACATGCCAACTGATTATAAGTACAGTTAGGTTGGGGTTCGGGTTTGTGTAAGTTGACATGTACTTGCTAAGTTTCTTATAGCCAGTTAAATGTTTGTTGAAGGAGCAGTATCAACAGATATTAAGCAGACAGTCTACTAATACACAACTGGACCATCAAAATAAAGTGATACAATTTTTAATCTACATTCTTCATCATTCTCCACTGTTGTGTACTACAAACATCCTCTTCCTTCTCAACGGCTGCTCATTAACCTTTTGATGAGTGTTATAACACCAGTGATCAGTATGATTAATCCAGGCTGTTCTCTAGAGAGAACAATCACACTGCTGTGATTAGAAAGTAGTCATCAGCTGCTTAAATCACATCTGCTTTTCTGTACAATACATTACACCAACAAAACAACCATTCATAGTTTGTAAAATACCTGTGAAAACAGCAATAATAGTCCTATTAAATGTAATCTGACGATGAGTATTATTCACATCATATAATATGCAGATTGAGAACATTATTAGAAAGTTTATGCTGTGTGTAGTTGTTCTTTTGCACACGTGGGTCAGTTTAAGACCATGATCATCATTTTCAAGTACAGCATTTACTCCTAGGTAAACTGGGATTTGTCAAGCATACTATTGTTTTTGTTTTGTTTTGATGTGTGTGTGTTTTTCCTCTCTTTCTTTCTTTCATTTTGTATAATTATTCTGTAATTTATACAATTTTAAAAAGTGGTCAATGGTGACGGTAAAGACAACCAAATATTTCTATTTCACAAAAATGCTGCTCTTTAAGAAATGAGCATTCACTAAATTAAATTTGATTAAATAAATGCAGCCTTGTTGAGTACAAGATACTTCATTTAAAACAGAAAAGAATCTTTCAGGTCCTAAGTATTTTGATTAGTTCTGAACATACATTGCCCAGCCAATAAATAAATAAAAATAAAAAACATTCTTTGAATAGGGCTGGGCGATATGGCAAAAATACTATCTCGATAATTATATTCTATTTTGAAGCATAATGATATATATTTCAATAAAAGTTGTATGATTTTAATAGCTGGCTTTAGGCTTCCATATTGCTACAGTTTAAGACAGCAGATGTGTCCTCATACAAAATATTATCCATCATTTTGTCGCTGTAGTGTTGTCATATTGAGCCTGAGGCTGCACTTTTCCCATCCTGACAGAGAGTCAGGTAAATACGGCTGTGTGTATTTTTCATCTCGTTTATGAATGCCTAATGAGAATTTCACCTCGAGACTCTTTTATTTCTCCTTGCAGGTGCCCTTTTCCTCTCTCCTTCCTCCTCTCTATTCATCACATATTGTGCAGTCTCAGCAAAAGACAAACAAGGCCTTATCTATGCACACAGATAGCCTGGCCCTGTCACCTTAGAGATTTATAACAGAGAGAGAGAGAGAGAGAGAGAGTCAGAGAAAGAGAGAGAGAGAGAGATTGCTGTCAGTGGGTGGGTCAGCTGATCAATAGTGTCAGACAGGGGAACAGACAGTAGGACAGAGTGATGCGGGGAGGACAGAAGTGAGGGACAAATAAACCCCACAGACTGACAGATTAGCAGAGGAGACACGTCTAAAATCACATCTGATTGTGCAAGTCCAGATGAAATTTTCTCTATCCAGATGAAAGTCCAGACATTTTTTTTCATGCTGAAAATAAAAGTACTACCCTTCTGTTGCGTACACTGAAAAAAAATTAATTCATTATGCATTAAAAAAGGTCATATTTTGGTTTTGGGGGTCTCCAAAGCTATGATATGTATGCAAGGTCAAAACCCACATTCACTGTCTTATAATATGTATTCATTTTTACCTAATCATCTCAGCGACTCCCATATGATTTGTTACGATTCATTTGTTCCCAAACCCCTCCTTAGCGCAAAGCTAATCTGCGCAGATTGGTCCGATAACCCAGTCTGTTGTGATTGGTCGACTGGGTTCAGCACGAGACAGAGTGAAATGCCCACTACAACTATGAAGTAGCACACAGAGTCTGTGAGAGCCCAATGCAGCAATGCAATAAAGCAATGTAGTTAAACCAGCATTTGACTTTACTCTTAATCCTAACCCCAAGTAATAACAACGACACACATTTAGTCTTAATCCACACAGTGACAAAACTTGAACTATTTTGAAAATTGTGTAGGAACAGCTGATGGTGGCCATAGCAAAGACAAACGGCCGAGAATTGTGAGTTTATAATCACATTAAATCGGTAAAGGAAGAAGCATGCATTTTCAACATGGTTT